ATATTGATCTCTTTTTACTGGTCACAAAGTTAATAAGTAACAGCAGGATGGTCCATTGTCCACACTCCCTCTTTCTAAACATCAGTGTCCACTCTGAAATAAATATACAGCTCCTGCAGTATCCTCTCGCTTTTGTATTGTTCTTCAGTTTAAGGTTCAACATGGGAATTTCTGTCCACTGGAGTTGGCTTACTGCGCTCGCATGTCTCCTCTGTATGGGTGAGCTACACTTATCTTCGATTTAAGATCGTTATACGTCGCATGTTATTTTGAAAATGAGTCAAATATTTATGTTTCCTGAATAAGTCCAGTTGTCCTTTCTAACATTCTTGGAGTTGGGAAAACATCTGTTAATACACATTTGCATACTTAAAGTAAAAATCCTGTGGAAAAATACCATTTGACTTTTGTTTCATGTCAGATGTTTTTTTCTTTCTTTCTGAAACAGCTGTTTTCAAAGTCTATTACAGAGTGGTTAATATTCTGGATGTAAGATAATGTCATGTTCCAAATGTATGCTATTTACACGACCAACTTTAAACAGTATACATGGTGTTTTCACTACGACCCAACATTTTTCAACAAGAGGAATATCAGAATCAGAAACACTTTATTGCTCTCCTAGGGGGAAATCGCTTTCTCTTACAGATGCTCCCATTCAAAAGTCTTAAAAGAAGTAGGAAACTATACAATATATAATAAAAATATAAACGCAAGTATTTATATGAAGTAAAACATATCTAAACATGAAATATAAATGTACATTCTGCTCTTGTATATGTATATCCAGTGTAATAATGATACTACCAATTATCTGCAGTTGAAATATGGATTGTTGCACATAGAAATAATTATTGCACATGGCCAGTTTGCTCATATTTGAATATAAAATGGTATTTTAAGCAGGAATGTATTCAATTTTTTTTTCACCCTGCAGCAACACATAATGAAGACGACAGAGATTAATGTATTTAAGGAACACTTCTAGAATCTAGTTTATTTATTTTGTGGGACTTCTCAGTTTGTGGAGAGCTCAATAAAATCTGAGAACAAACATCCTGAACATCTTCTGATGAATTCCTTGCCAACAGGTGAGGTTCGGTGTGATTGCACAGAGACGAACATGCAAATACAGGGAGGCAATTACACTCTGACCAAAAGGCTGGAGACAGGCAGCATTCTGGTGTACAACTGTCCTGAGGGCTACTATCCGTATCCGCATCTGACCCGCCTGTGTCAACCCAACGGCAGCTGGAGACCAGCGCCCAGAAGGTTTCCAACTCAGAGATGCAAAAGTGAGTAATGAGACCATGATGTTCCTCACTGTGCCTCAGGCTGTCTGCCCTCCATGATAGCTCACATTCATGCTGTGTTGTCTCTCAGTTGTCGAATGCCCAGACCCAAATGTGTTGGAGTACGGAAACGTCAACCCTCCTCAGGAGAAGTACCTTGTGACCAACGTGACCACGTACGACTGCTACTCTGGATACACACTGAGAGGCTCAACCAGTCGGCGATGTTTACCAAACGGGAAGTGGAGCGGCTCCACTCCCATCTGCAGCCGAGACTGTGAGTGTCATCAACAGCAGCAGAAAATGTTTGATGTAGTTGTGAGCAGCACATATTTTCATTTTGTGCAAATTGATTCTTTTATTCCACAAAATGCTGCGATTCTTTGCATTTATTTGACAGCTGTTATACTTTGCAAACTGAAATTTTACATAAAAACATTCAGTATGAAAAGTGTTTCAAACATGGAAGAGCTACTTTTATTTCAGATTTAAATATCATATGTTTTTCATTTCCAAATGTCCATGTATTATTCCAACTATTGCTGTTTCCTGAATAGGTCCAGTTTCATCGTCACTTGGACATAAATAATTCTAAATGTTCAGACTGTTAGAAATATTGTTAAATATGAACCCAGTGGTCCCCAGTGCTTACTTTTTTCTTATGAATTGCTTCTTATGCACTTTTATTTAAGTAGAGTTTGTATTTAGTCATTCTGTTTTAACATTGTTGTATTGCTAAGCTAAGAATCCACCACTTCTTCGTCTACTCTCCTTTCAGATTCGGGATGCACGCTCATTTGTGGCTCTTTCATTATTCATTACACCTTCATTATCTTTGTGTTTCTTCATTTCTTCCCACAGCTGGCGATAACTGTGCAGATCCTGGTATCCCACCCGGAGCCTCGAGAACAGGGAACATATTTGGAATTGACGACACGGTGAAGTACGCTTGCAATGGAAACCTGTTTCTGGTGGGCTCCAGCGAGAGAGTGTGTCAGGAGAACGGCCAGTGGACTGGAAAAGAGCCAGCATGCTACTGTAAGACAGATATCTACAGTATACACACTGCTTACATTTATTTGATCAAAGTTTTGCCATTAAGAGGTCTGCTGGGAGCCTAATGGAAGCTCATTATAATAAGGATGCTGCAGCATTTAGAGGCAATGAGTGGAGTCAAGTTAATTTGCTGGAGCTAATGTTACCAGAACTCATGGACACTCAAAAGTTAGAAAAGTTAGAACTAATGTTGATCATTTTTCTTTCCATGAACTAATTCCACAGTTTTTTGGCTATATGAGCAGTCAGTAAGTCCGTAAAAAAAACAGTCAGTGGTAAACCGGTCAGGTCATTTTCTGCATGTTTCCCTCTTTCTTTCTATTTCTTTACACTTTCATGTGATTACTCTCTTACAAACTAAGTTTTCAGTTCCTTTTTTTACCAGGAGTTTTTACTAGGAGGGCTGTATGTGAGTTGACAAGCCACTTTGAGTTTACTTTGACCCCTAGAAGCCTGTCCTGGTTTGCACAGCCTTAAATGTCACAAAAAGACAGAAAAAAGCTGCTAATATCCTCCATCAGAACTGGCTGTCAGAACCCCCCCCCCAACTCTGACACCTTTTACGTTGTACTTGTACATTGTACGGTTTCTGTGTCTTTTTATTTGCTATTTCTACCACTTTGCATGTGTGCAACCCCATGAAACCAGGACAGACTGTCTTAGCATATTGCTGATTAAACAATATCATCTCCCGAGTGATGGTTGCATATACCAGTCAAGCATAAAATGCTCAAAAGTTAACTTACCAGCTGTGTACTCTTGAATTTAAACTCCTCTGATTTTTCTTTCTTGGCCTCTTGAAAATGCACACTGGTGAGAAGTCAGTGTGGGCTCTCGTCCTACCTACTCATAGGCCAGTGTTATGTTTTCTTCATCCATGAGTACACAAAAATCCACTAGGGTCTGAATGATGGAAAATTCGTCATCTGCCCAAGTCTGTAGGAGTCTCTGTGGGATTAAGCTGCTGCACATGTATAAAAGAAAGTAGTATAGTGTAGGACAACTGCACTGCTGTGGTCAGACAGATGTGTTGAGCAGCCAGTAGGAGTCACTGTTGCGGTGACAAGGACATGATCCCTCACCAGGTTCCCACCAATATATGCTATTATTGCAAACTGAACATTTTCTGGCTTTTTCTTCTTGCAGACAAACACACCTATGACACTCCATTGGAGGTTACAGAGTCATTTGGCAGCGCAATCAAAGACAGTCTCACCACTTTAGAACCCATTGGTAAGTTCTTAGACCCACTCTGATTTTTAACATTATTTATCAGCAACTTTATTCAATTACAGCCTATTGGAGTAATAACCAAAACAAATGGGTGGTAAATTAATCACACAATTCTTTTGCTCTAAATATATTAACCATACAAGAAAGATGTTGCTCCTTCTTTTGTTATGCTTCTTTTCTTTACGGCAAAAAATGTACGCGTGTGGAATATAATGTGCAGCCTGTTGTACAGTAACAGTACTTGTTGTTGTTCAGATGACACACAGGAGGGGAGAAAAATCCGGATTTCAAAAAATGGGACTCTGAACATCTATATTGCTGTGGATATTTCTGAGAGCATCGAAAACGACCACTTCGTTAACGCAAGAAATGCGGTCTTAAAACTTATCCAAAAGGTGAGAAACAAACAGCTTCTCTCTTGATTTTTAAAAATGAGTAAAAACGAAAAAGACCAAACCGCATAGGTTTTACTTTGTTTATTTGATTTAAAGCTCGGTTGCCACAGAACTCTCTCTCTCTCTGTCTTACAATATGCTGAATTTGCAAACAGTCAGCAACACTGTGCTTGGACTGGACTTATATTAGGATTGCTTTGCTGATTGTGGTCTCGCTTTAGGGGTCTAACGATGCACATGGGGTGAAACTGCAGACTGCTGCTGACGGATGCTGGCAATAAATTTGCTGAGTTGTTAAATCACATTCGAAATATAGCAGTTAGTGTGACATTTAATCAATCACTCGATAGTTTTAGCAATAAAATGGCATGTTAGAAATGTCACATAGATATTGAAAAACTAATTTCAAAGTGTTTTCCTTCCAAAACACTCTGCATGTGGACCAACTGGTGTTGCAGCCAAAGGACCTGAATTATGCATGAAGCTTGTTGTACTGTCTGACACACTTTTAGAGGCACGTTTGGCTCGCTGTACACATTATATGTACACACTTAATCTCATCCAGTTTGGCTGCTGCCACAACAGCCCATTAGAAGTAAATTTAATTATGAATTACAAATCATAATCTTGACTGATGTTTCTTGGCACGAGTCCCTTGGCATGCAGTCAATGCACACTACGGGGTACGCTTTCTGCTGATAAATGAATCAATTACTCAACGAAATAACATGCATAAGCAGTTTGAAATGTAAGGAGGTGTTGCATTAACGAAACATTGCGCAGCAGTTCCACAAGTTTACATGTGTTCACAAACATGTGTCAAAAGTTCAGATGAGATCTGCATGTAACTGATTTGCTTTGTGTGTCCACAGATTTCATCCTTCAGCGTGACTCCGAACTATGAAATCGTCTTTTTCTCCTCTGATATATATGAAGTTGTTAACATTCTTGATTTTCTGGATGGCAAAGCAACACTAAGCAAAGTCACGAGTGACTTGGAAAAATTTGAAGTTGGTGGTAAGTGAGGCTCATAGAGATAAAAAGCTGTTTTCCACTGCAGGTACTTTTTTTGTATGTTCCGACTGCAACTCCAATGTAGGTACTTCTGAGCGGCCCTGAAATAACTGCTGTGCAGGACTTGAATCTGATTGGCTAAACTATGAGAAAACAATGCTAACTGATAAAATTTAAAGAGGACGATAAACGCCATTTTTCCTTCACAGTTAATGTTGCTAAAATTGCCATCAACAACAGAAAATTGTCATATAGGCAAACATACCAACCCAGCAAGCCGGGAGCGTTCCCATAATGATATCTAATATTACCTACAAGATTTAATATAATCTTTAAAGAAAACATTGAAATCAAATATTTAAAGAATGGCTTCCTCCCACACAGTCCAAAAACATGTTGAGGTTAATTGGTGATTCTAAATTGTCCGTAGGTGTGAATGTGAGTGTGCTTGGTTGTCTGTCTCTAAATGTAGCCCTGTGATAGACTGGTGACCTGTCCAGGGTGTCCCCTGACTTCACCCTGAGTCAGCTGGGATAGGCAGTGTATAGATGATGGATGGATGGATGTTCTGAGGATGTATTAGGCACCTTGTTATGGGAACACATTATAGAAAGCTCTTCTGTAGAATGTTTCCCCAATGGTAACAAAGTAAGGTTGTTCTAAATGTAACATCAAGACCTCCGATGACAGAACGTGACTATTTAACAAAGGTGCAATATTCCGCCTGTAGTGTTGTGAGGATGTTCTGGGAATGTTTTTGATGACTGACTTTATATAAAAATCCCATAACACTACGTGATAACAAATGAAGAACATTCTTAGCTCAGTATTTAGGTTTGAGAACATTAGGGCATATTGGACTGACAATGTTGTCAGCAAACATTAATAGAACATCTATATTGTTTTACCTTAGCGAAGAACTTTATGGGAACTACAACAAAACTTACAAATGAAAATATTAGAGGAAATTTTTAGAACGTTCTCTCATTTTGTCATCCAGTCACCACTATTTGTCTCTATTTTGCCGCACTCAGCATAAATGTTGTGGTCAAAGCTGTTAAATGAAAACCAAAAGGCTTAAATATCCGATTATGGGGCTGTTCCTGTAAGTGTTAGCGCCACCTAACGCCCACCCTGAGTTCCTGCAGTGGAAAATCGCTTGTACTTTTTTTTTTTTGCATGGCTTCAATACACGGCTTGATCCAAATGTTCAGTTTTACAGCGTTTCTTTGCGCGATTTCAAGACAGAAACACTGGAACAGATCTGAACCAAGTCTTCAAGATCTTCATGGAGCGGATGGCTATCATAAAGCGTCGAGCAGGAGATGAGGGTTTTAAAGAACATCGTCACGTCCTCATCTTTTTTACAGATGGTAATATCAGCCTATTTATATTTCAGCAATGAAGCTGACCATTTGTTTAACTGTAGGAAAGTTCTGAATTTAAAGAAAGAGTTTAAATTAAATTTTGGAAAAAAAGTGGTTGTTTGCTTTGCTGCTGTGAGTTAGATGAGAAGACTGATACGACTTACATAATAATGAAGATACGCTGATTTGCTTAGCTTAGCATAAAGACTGTACTTGTAGATAGACTATATGTACACAGGATAGCTGTAGCCACCATGAAACCACTCATTGGTTGTTGAGTCTTTCAAAACAGAGGAGGATCTGATTGAGCACATTTATATGGCAGCCACGCCCTAAAGCTGCTGCTTTATTGTTCATTTTTACTTGAAGTGGTACAATAATTTATCAAATGAATACCATGCTATGTTGAAACAGACTTGAAAGTATTGATTGTGACCATAAACTCATTAGGAGAATGTTTCCTAAAGTAACAAATCAACTGAAAAGTAGCGTCATTTCCTCAGAGATTGCTAAGCAACTGGTGTTCTTGTTCTAACTAGAGGAGTCGCCCCCTGCAGGTTAAGGCACTTCTGCATCGGCTTTACATTTTAGACCTTAAGATTTGCGTGTCATTAATACGTATAGCATTATTTCAGTGTTTTCATGTAAGACCTAAACTTCAAACTGTGAAAAATCTGAGTAAGATTTACTGCTTTCATTTGGTGATGGGTCTCTATGTTTGGTCACTTTTACTGCAGGTGCTTATAACATGGGCGGTTCACCTGTACCCACTGTGGAAAGAATAAAGAACATGGTGTACATGAACAACACCAGCGAGCAGCAGAAGCAATCCAGAGAAGAATTCCTCGGTGAGTTTTACTTTTGATTCGTGCAGATTCCTGGGGAAATCATTCAGCCTCTGTAGACTCATCCTCACAGACACATAACATTTTTTTTATTGCGTCACATTTTTATAGTTGCCAGGAGCTTTTGTGCAGAATTAATTTTAACTTCATCATTCTGCTTCATTCTGATACAGACATTTATGTTTTTGCCATCGGAGCCGAGATCTTTGATGATGACCTGCATCCCCTGACAGCAGGGACCGGAGGGAGACATTACTTCAGAATGAAAGATATCAAAAACTTACAGGACACCTTTGATGAAATAATTGGTAAGTCATCTTTGAAAATGTTTTCTGAAGTCTGTATGAATCTTCTGTTTGTTGTTCGGCTTTGTGCGCGTTTGTGTATTCGCTGTAGCATTTATCACCCAGCAATAATTGACACAAGGGAGATATATGATCATAACTGCAGGCCTGCGTGGTTCTCTTGTTTCCTAAAGTACCTGAGAGCAGGCAGAACCATCAGTCTTGATCCAGCCTGATACCACTGATATAGCAGGAATGGACAGATATGATAATGTATCCCACTGGACCGGTGGAATGTAATTTAATGTTGATGTAATGGGTTGGAGGCACTGAACTCCAAATTGAATGTAATGTTTAGTTTTAGCATTGAGCCTTAACTGTGTAGTGATAAAATGCATTTGCATTCATGAGTAGCACTGAATTCGTGTTTCTTGTTGTTGCTTTTTGCAGATGAAGAAGAAGTTAAGGGTCTATGTGGTCTTCACAAGGTGTATGACCAACAACCTGACCAACACAACTTTAGGAAAATGTATCCATGGGTGGCATTCATTTATGTCCAGGTGACAGTTTTAACTCATCAGTGAAACATTGCTTTGCTCAAAATCTACATTCCTATTCTTTACCACGACAGTCAATAAAATCAGATTTTTCCACTGGGAAAAAAAACACTTAATTGAGAGATATTTTAATAAGTGATTTCAATAAGCAGACTGTCATCTCCAGCTACATTATGTTGTCCATGTCTCATAACCATGTTGTATATTCATTATATATTATTTATGTCATAGAACGATGGAGGGTCCAACAGATGCCTCGGCTCTCTGGTGACCTCTAAGTTTATCTTGACTGCCGCTCATTGCTTCAAATTTGGTAATTTACCTGAACACATCACAGTTGAACTTCAAGACGGACTGGCTCTTGGTAATTATACATATCTATAGAAACTGCCTCTTAGCAAAAATAGCAGTATCCAGTTGTTGGCTTCGGCTTTGGATACTGATGAAAAGTGTGTTCCCAATCCTCTACTTAACTCTACCTTGTTTCATTTTTTATTTATTTCTTTTTTTTTTTTTATTACAGCAAGAAAAGTTAAAACTTTTACGTTACATCCAAAGTACAATGTTACCGCTAAAGTGAAGCAGGGTGTGAAGGAGTTCTACGACTATGACGTGGCTCTAATCCAACTGGAGAAAGATGTTCGAATCTCTGCTTCTGCCAGGTGAGAACGTGTGTCCTACAAACGCTGCTGCTTGTAATCAGATTTCAGAATCAGAATCAAATTCATTAGCCAAGTTTCTCCACGTAAACAAGGAATCTGACTCTGGTGAATCTTAACTCTCTATAAGAAATGAAGAAATAGACGAGAACAATAAGATAGAAGATCTGATGCTGCATTTATGGTCCTTGCCTGGAGATTTAAGGATAAAACTCTTCTTACTGTCCCATTTGAGATGATGCTATATTTATTTTTCATTTTCTTCAGACCCATTTGCATACCTTGCACCCAGGAGACCAGTGACGCTCTACACCTGGTTGGTGATTCTACCTGCAAGCAACAAGGTGTGATAATTCCGCAATATATTGTTAAAACGAGGAATTCTGAAATCAGTTCTTTGTTTGTCAAAATGAATCAACCTTCATTTTCTATTTTTAAAGTAATCACCGCAAAAATAAAGTAAAGCAATTACTTTAAAAACAGATAAATGTCTCTCAGTTTAAGTTAATTGTCCATGTTTAGGTTGCTGCTTTAGAATTTTTTCAAGAAATCATTTTTAAAAAATGACTCAATAATAAACATTTCTGTTTCTTGTGCTTAAACTGCAAAGCATTAGATGTGCATGAGATGGTGCTTGATTGTTAATGTGCAAAGAGTTCATTTGCAAAAACAGATAACTCCATTTTTGTAGATTTTCAGAAAACTAGTTTTTTGTTGTTTGCTTGAGATAATATCAATCAAACTGAAGGTGAGTGGATTTGACTCAGTAGAAATGACATGACAAAAATAGAGATAACTTAAGTTTGATTAATGTCTCAGGTAGATGATGGAAAAGTGGGTTTTCTGATCGTTTGTGAAAATGAAGTTATCTGTTTTTGCAAATGAACTCTTCATGACTTTCAGCGCTAACTATGGAGAAAGTTATACATTTTTCTCTTAGATTTGTGACTTTTCAGCAAAAATAAAGTGACAAGTTACTATATTTTTGCTGTTCTCTATTTACAGAGGAACTTCTGTTAAAGAATCATCTTGAAAGACTCAGTTTCCTGACCAGGAAAGGAGAGTATGTGGGTGTAAAAGATGTTCATGCCAAACTTGGCGATAATGTGAGTTCTACATTACTGAACTGTGTTGTACCTCATGTGTGTCTGCCATCTTCATGTTCCCCTCAAAACCTGAAAAGCCACTCTGAGTTTTTAATTCTTTTCTCCAATGCAGAGAGCTCAATGCATCAAACAGGCTCTCAACGCAAAGGGCATAACGACGAAGAACGAGCATGATGCTGTGACTGATAACTTCTTGTGCACTGGTGGTAAAAATCCATTCAGAGATCATATAGCATGCACAGGTTGGTTCCTGCTCTTTTATCTATATATAAAACACTAAAAAAAAAAAAGCAACAGTGGTGCAGGCTCAGTATTCTGCTTGTAACCCCATGTTATGTATTTGCTTTGTACAGGTGACTCTGGAGGTGCTGTGTTCAAGAACTATGAGCTTCGGACAGTACAGGTACAGCTATGAGCACAAATGAGCAGATATCCACTGAAATATCAACTTTGTGTAATTTGACCGTGTGCTGACTGTACAGTAACCAACTACTTCTTGGACAGATTGCAGTGGTCAGCTGGGGAACCAAGGAGATATGCACGGCGGGCGGCGTCGTCGAGTCACATGACGACTCCAGAGATTTCCACATCAATCTTTTCAAAGTTGTCCCTTTTCTCAAATCCATCCTTGGAAATGACAACCAGGATGACTACGCCCCGCTTAAATTTTTGGATAATTTGGAATGATGAATATATTGACACACTGGTAATTGTTTTGGCATTTCACTTAAACTGCAAAACAGATCATTGAACTCCTTCAATCACTCATTCATTCTTCCTTTTTTTCAGACTGTGAGTTCATAATAAATAAGACATTAAATGTTCTCATCAAAAGCATAAGAACATATTTTAATACAAGGCATCAAAGTTTTAAAAAAGTAACATTTTGGCTACATTCAAATGCACAGTAAATGGTGCCAACAGTTTTTTTTATCCTGCCTGCACATACATTTACACAGATTTTATTCTGCACGTCCTGTGCTCAGCCAGTATGAAGAAGTTAATAAATCAGTTTTAACTTGTGTTTTGATGTTTTTTAATAAATGATTACTAAACCCTGGATCGGGGTTAGATGTAGAATAGCATGTATGGGGAAACGATGTAAATTCATGAGCTGTCATATTGTTTAGAACATAGTTCTGTTTGGCCATTGAAACCAATGTTGCAAATAAACTGTCAGAACTGCTTTATGAAAATATCAGAGATTCATATGTTTATTTTTGCATTCAATCACTGCAATAAAATAAAACAAACATTCCTGTTCATTAGTAACAAAAGTTCCTATATTTAATCCATACAGCTCGTGTCAGTTTAAGCGGCAGTGGGTTTAGGTTTCTAACAGAGAGGCAGAGGTACAGCTTGAAGCACAAGTGGTGGTGTTTATTGATCAGGCAACCCACAAGAGACACACCAGCTACAAAAATCCACAGTGAAAGCAAATAGCTGCGTTTTGTTTTCTCCTTTCTACAGGCTATAAAGTCCTAAACATGTACACAAGGCCTGTAGAAAGTACAGTTTCCTATGAATAATTCAGTGAGGATGGTTTGCACCAGGAGCTATTAAGGAGGTGATCGGACCCGAAAATTAAGAGAAAGAAAGGACTATTTTTACTACTTGAGCATTAAAATGTTTTAATTTTGGACAGAAAAAGTAGATTTCACCTTACAACAGAATTTTTCCTTTTCTTTTTGCATAATAAGATTGACCAGTCCACTTCTGCCTAATCACCCTCTGAAAACTATTCCCATAAAAGAACGTCTGCTCACCTCACTAAAGAATCCAAATCAATAAATGAGTATAAATATTCATCTAACTTAACAGAGCTCTGTGCCAGTCATCTATAAGCTAATGCCACAGTAAAGTACATGGAAAGTAATGGAAGGTTCGATCTTCATTACAGCCTGCAGCTTGGACTGATCGCTTTCAGGCAGATTTAAAGTTTCATTTTTATCAGATGACACGCAGGTCACGACTCACCAAAACAAACTAACAGGCAAACATCAGCTCCCGTAAATGACAAGCATGGGTGTCACAGTTCTTTCGTGATCTGGCAGCAATGTGGAGAAAAACTCAGCAAGATAATCTCCTCACATATGACGGGTTGGTCCGCAGTTAGAAAAAAATGAATCAGTAACAAAAAAACTGTTGAATACAGTAACATTGAAAAACTGAAAGAAAAAAAAAAAAGGAAATAAAAAAATAATTGCAAATATCTGGAAAACAAACATATATATTAAGCTTATTTACATACAGTAAAAACGACTGTTGTATGTTTCAAATGTTTAAAAGATGTTGTAAAAGAACAAATTAATATGAAATATTTGTTAAAATACAGATTTCTCATTTTTATTTAAAGTTTGGTCTTGTTTTTTAAATTTTTAAATTTTTTACAGTCAAATACTAAATTCATGCTTTTCCTTGGTTTTGCTAGATATTATCTGTGATTGAACAAAACAGGGAACAGGTTTTTAAAAATGATTACCATATTTCAATCTGTAATATGAATAATTTTTCTTTCAAATATTGACACACATCAGTAAAATCATGGAATTTTTAGCTCAACACAGTGAAATGGTTAAACATCAAACAAGAACAAATTACTATTTGTAAAAATACAGACGTTTGATGTGGGTATTATAAACAGTTTTAGCGTGTTTTTGTTGTTGTTGTTTTTTTTTACATTAAAATAAAAAAGTATATTCATACTACCTCTGTGACTTTACTAGATATTGTCTGTAAATAAACAGTAAATTGTTTTACTGTTTTTTTTGTTTTGTTTTGTTTTTACAGTGTACTAGGGGTTACGCTCTGATTTATGTATAGACCGGACGACTACAATCAGGAAACAGGAAGAATGGCTCCCTCTGCTCAGTCACCCACTGCAAACTATCACCATAAAACAATTGTCTGCTTGCCTCACTAAAGAATCAAGAATCAATACATGTGTGTAAATATTCATTTAATTTAACAGAGCTCTGTGTTAGTCACCCATAGCTAATGCTGTGAAACCCTAGAGAACATCAATTCAAGACCTCAAGTATATAAGCCTGTAGAGTCACAGGAAAATCCCTGCATAAAAAAGCAGCAAACATTCTGTCTGTTGCTTTAATTGTTAAAGTGATTAGGTAAATATTTATCTCTCTACACAGATAAATACCATGCACACTGTAGATATTACTGCATTTACACAGCAAAACTGAAATGTCCACATTGTAATCCACTTGACACACCAAAACCTTACAATTAAAATGTTCTGATTGACAATATTTGGACTTTTCCAGTGAATAAAAATGCAGCAACAGCTCAGATTGCAGCTTGACTCATCCTGAGCTTTGTTCCTGAAGATTTCACCGTAAAAACTGTGAATCTGTGTGCAGCAGCTCTTTTGGCGGCTGTGCAGAAAATGCATTTAGGTTAACAAGGCTTCAGTAAGATCACAATGATCTCCACATATAATCTATCAATCCTGGGTGCAGCGCCGATAAAGCTCCGCATTATTCAGTGCAGAGCTTTAGGCTCTCAAGAGTGAAAAAAAAAAGTAATAGTGGCCCTTTTAGACGCAGCCTGCAGTTATTAAACTACGTGATTTATTTCTGGTATGACAATAAATCTGTCTTGAAACGTGGGAAGTGGCTTAAAACTCAAAGAGATAATAAAGAAGATCCAGTGTTTCATTTCAAGCATCATTCATTTAGAAAGTGATAGTTCAGTAGTAGCAGTGTAAGTGAAAATGTTTTAATATAACATAAACTGTATGAGGCAATTAAAGATTCATGTTTGCTAAGAAATTAATGAAGAGCTTAATGAAGATGCAAATTGCTTATTGTCTCTCTGCAGGAGTGGAACCAAGAGTTTTTATTTCCGAAAAGTTACATATCATAATTTACAAAACACACAGTTTATCCACAGAACCACAGATTATTATTACATTTCCTTCTCCCAAGCCTTTCTGCAAAGCTACATTTTAAACAAATGAGTAAAATAATGACTCCAGCTCCAAAAAGGTTTCATCAAAACTCTTTTATGGACGCTGAGCTCTGCTGATGGAGGCGTCCAGCTCCCCCCTGGGTCACCGACTCGGGGCCCGTTTCCAGCTCCCAGTGCAGTAGTACGCAATGCGGACACTGGGTCTGGCAGGACGCCAAACTCAGATCATTCTAATTGAATTTAGTGGAGAGTTAAGTTATTTCTTTCGATGTGTAATTGAGTTTTTTTTTTCTTTCTCTTTCTGGCTTTAAGATGGAAATGAACTGAGTTTGTCAGTCACTGTATTATTACAGCCCACAAACAAACAGGAGCATTGCATTACCAGTGATTTGTTGTGGTCAGAGGCAGTTTATGGCTTCAAATCATGTTATTTTCCCGTATAACTAATCCAGCCTTGCCTCGGTGAAAATGCACATTTCTTTGCTAATGGATATTGGCCATAACATCAAACAGCAGTGGTGAGTTTTCAACTTTAATGCTACGTTCCTCTGACGTGGTGACCCGCCCATCTTGTGCAGGAGAGGGAGTGTCCGGCTGAGTGTGGTGGTGCCTTCGGCCGGTGATATACTGACTCCCATGGGAGCATTCATCTGGTTTCCCTTAACTAATTGGGAGAGAGGGAGGAGGGTCAGTGGGATGAGAAAAGGAGGCAGAGACAGAAGAAGACAGACTATGTGAGAGGAGGGACGAATGGGAGAGGCCTAATTGAATGAAAGCCTCTCTTGGTCTCAGATGCTGTAAACAAGGAGGAAATTTAAACCGAGCTCCATTCCTTATTGGAAGCCTCTTGAGGACTCACTAACCTCTCTGTCTTCCCTTTTATTGTGCAGAGCATCACGATAATGCCAACGTCTCATTCCCCTTCTTCAATTTAAACAAAGCCAAACCCCCTTCGACTGGAATCAATCTACACCTAAACTGATTAGCTGTGTATGGATAGAGCCGCATGCACGAGGGCGGCATTCTCAGGGCGGCCTGCTCCCTCCACCCTCGCTCCCTATTCAGCACGAGCACACACAGCATATTCCTGATGAAGCATCCTGCTGCTTAAACTCTAGCTGATCTGTCTCTCTGAGAGCCTTAAATCAACCTTATGGGCCATTTTAGAAATTACTACCATTAAGAACTGCATACATACACTTTTCTTCCATTTGTGCGCTGAAAAGAAGATCACGTGCACATGCTGATCCTGCCGCTTGAATATGAAATTATGTCGCTGGCAGAGGAAATCCCCCTTGTTACTGAACTGTATTGTCAAATATTCACATGGATAACTTGACTGACGATAAGAGCTTCTGTAATTCTCAATAAAGCCTGTGTTTTCTACAAATCCTAAAGGAAACGTTTAAATGATATCGATACCTGTCATGTCAATATGAAGCCACCACGAGTATGCAGTTAGTTTAAATTGGTTTAAAAGCTGAAAACATGGGGACACAGCTAGCCTGGCTCTTCCTGCTGGAATAACAGTCATGATTTCCATGTGTTGCTGGTTTAGCTGGTGGAACAGAACAGTTGTGTGTTGTCTACCTGCACATGAAGCTGCTCCACCAGAGTCACCAGAACCCCATGCTTGTGACCAGCACCAAAACATGCTCTTACAAAATACCCTAGCAGCACCTCTAGAATGAAGTAGCGCATCTTGTTTGTCTAATAAGAGATCAGATGTGTTTATCTGTGACCTATAGCAGCTAATGTTGGCTAATTTCTATCTATCTGACTGTCTCATCAGCTGGTGACTGTAGTGTCATGTTTGATCTTTGGTGTTGATCTTCTCTGCTAACTCTTGACAAGAAAGTAAATAACAGTCCCAGAATGTTCAGCTAACATTATTCCTTCCATCCATCCATTATCTATACACCGCTTAATCCTCACTAGGGTTGCAGGGGGGCTGGAGTCTATCCCAGCTGACTTAGGGTGAAGGCAGGGGACATTATTCCTTGATTTGAAAAAAAAAACAAAAAAAACTGGGACATAAGCTATACACAGGCATGCTATACACTGTTTTAAAAAAAAAAGAATAAAAAGAAAAAAGAATAAAAAGAAAAAGAAAGAAAGAGGAAAAATCACTAACATTCTAGCAGCAAGTAAACTAGAAAGAACACATAATAAATTATGGAATGCTGTAACATTCAAAAGCTGTAGAAACTGGTACAAATAACAGTAAATATCTATAAAATAATGCTATATTCATCTGATTTAAATATATTGAAACATTGGAATTTTACAGTCAAACATAATAAAAAGGAGTTAATCATTATTTGTTAAAATCTAGAATATTTTAATATCTGTTTTTGTTGTTTTTTTACAAACAACATGTACATTAATACTTGTTTTTCTGTGATTTTACTCGTTGATACCTGCAGTTTCAGCAAAACAAGAAAATCTGCAAAACAACAATAAATCATTTTATAAATTGCACTTATGAAGTGTTTGTTCTTAACAGCTGTAGTTCACTATAGAACTGCATGTGTTTTTTGTCAATTCAATTGGTCATTTCATACTTTACCAAGAAACTGTTATCTTAATTTCAGGCCTGTAGACATTTAGAGGCCGTTAAAAACATATTGTCAGTTTAAACCTCTTTTTCTGAAGGATGGACTCCTACATGAACACAAGATCTTTTTTTGTTAAAAAGAGAATGACTTGTGTTGCTCTACAAGACAGGTTCTCTGTATTTGTGTTTCAGCTGTGCTCCTCTCATTAGTTTAAAGTGGGCATGACTTGGTATGAAGCTGAGGTCATGTCTTACCGTGCAACTAAATCCAAAATGAAAACTTGACAACAGTTGCATTATTGTTTGCTTCATTTTCTAGGCCTCTATCAATTACATCATGTAATCTGATCAAAGTTAGAGTTATACGATACACATTTCTAAACTTGAATTATTACTTTTTAAAAATATCTTACACTGTAGAGAATTATTGAAGATTAGAAACCAAGCTTCCATAATAAAGCGGAGAAAAGAGACGTATCTGACTAGTCCCTCCTCTCGGATATGTCAGCCGTGTTTGGTGATCTGTCCTGCTTTGTACTGAGGCACAATAAGTAAGAATGCTGCAACGTGAAGCTGCGTAAAATATTTTTAAAATATCCCTAATTGAGTTAGAGGAGATCATTTTCATGTAACACTTTTGTAATGATAATACTCGAAGCTTAAGTAATAAAGGTAGGAGTGAAATCTGCCTCTTGTCAGCGTTTACGATGAGAAGCACTTGCATGATTAGATGTCTTGCGATCGATGCAGCCTCTTCTCCCAATCATTAAGACTGCTCTTAACAGATTACAGCCCCCTCCCAAACACGCACAGCATTTTCTCCTCCTCTCCCTGCTCCTCCTTCTGTCTCACACACTCGCTCTTACGCTAGATAAAACCGGAGATCTGCCTCTCCAGCACTCCTTTCGCTTTCTCCTTGAATTTTAGAGCATTTTCTCACACTTGAAGCTGCAGCTCCTTAAAGGTACAGGTGGAGTTTCATCTGGTTTCACCTGTCCTCCGCTGACTGACGAACGGGCAGCGAGATGAAAAAGACTAAACTGAAATACAAGATTTGGTGGTAAACAGACTACAGCTGACAAACATGGACTTGCTGACAATCTTCTGTCACCTCCTGCTTCTTTTGTGCTTTGATCCATCTGCAGCCACAAGTCTCATTACAGGTAAGTTGCACACACACACACAGGAAAACACAACACAGCACAAAGAAGTGAACTCTTCATTCAACTGTGCTTCTCTCTTTGGTTTCCTCGTGGCCTGACTTCCTGATTCTACTCTGGACTTTTGGCTCTTGTAGCAGATATATTTGAAGCCAGAGGTAGGCAGCACACTTTTACAAAAACACTGCTTTACTTTGATTGTTACCACTTCCCAGAAGTCCACATTTCTTGTATCTACTCATTTAATACATGAGGAAACTTACAGGCCATGTACAATGAGGTGTGTATGGATGTGTGTGTGTGCAGGTCAGCGTGTGTGCAAGGCAGGAAAAGGGAGGCCGTGCTACAAGTTGGCCTATTTCTCCGAGCTCCGCCGGAGGCTGAACTTCGTGGAGGCGGAGTTGGCCTGCAGACGAGACGGAGGGCAGCTGCTGAGCGTGGAGTCTGCATCCGAGCAGAAGATCATAGAGCAGCTCATCACCGAGCTCCGCCCAACCGACGGAGACTTCTGGATAGGTCTCCGCCGTAACCATGGAGACGGAGACAGCAGCACCAACTGCTCCTCGCAGTACTACTGGCTGGACGGCAGCAAGTCCACGTTCAGGTGGGAGTCAGTGGGTGAAGAGACACATCGGTTAACTTTCATTGGATGACTGTAAGATGAGAAAGGTGTATCTCATGTGTGTTTTAAAATGCTGATACTGTACATGTGGCTCTGTTCAAAAATAAAAACTTTAATAAGCTTCAAATGTACAAAAACTGCTTTTAAAGAAGCAAAAGTAATATAATCATGAATTTGCATAGAATAATCAGGGATCCTTTAAATTTTTTGGGAAGTGTAATGGATACGCTGTTTCTAAATTAGTAATATAATCAAAGAAAAATTCAAAAAGTAACCAAAATAATGCAAATTTTATGAAGCCTGCAGCTTTCAATAACGCCATACCTTACACTTCAATTAATTGCACTTTCCTTTTAGTAATTTTCAAAAAGGAGACACTGTAAGCGAGGGTTTAAACTATAGATATCAACATGAAGCTTCTCTAGTGGATTACTTACATATGCAAATGCAGTAAATGCAGACAAATCTGCACACATATCCAGAACAGAAAACTGCTCGTTGGGTAAAGCCAGGTTCAAAGGTCTTGTTTGAATTGGGCTGAAGTATTATTGTTAAAGCTTTTTATTGTGGGTATATTAGGTATCACTCCACGAATAAGAAAACACTGTCAACAGCCAGAGAAAATCCATTTTTGACATGTTTTTAGAAATATAATGTTTCTATAAATGACGCGCGAACTGATTAAGGAGCAAACCCCTCTGAATAATGTTTCACATCATAGATAACAATAAAACTGGAAAGTTTGATGCATGTAAGTGCAACTGAAGCTGAAATTTCTGGCTCAGACAACGAGAAAAAAGCTAATTTTGAAAAAACGGCTTTTGAAGACATGTATTGTAATTAAACTTTACAGACACAAATAGATCAAGTATAGTAAAATAAACACCTAAATGTATATACTGGACATTTTCTTTCTTGCTCTTGTCTGAAAGCGGATACTATGGCAGCAAAATAAACCCGGGCATGAAAAAAGAAATGTTCTTGCCTGTAGTGTCACTAAATAGGAACATGAGTTTTGTAAAGATTTTATTGAAAGCAGCTTTATGGGAAAATGACTGCCTGTCTTTGCTTTTTGTGTGTTCGTTGTAGGAACTGGCACTGGGATGAGCCATCATGCGGCTACGAGGTGTGCGTGGTGATGTATCACCAACCGTCTGCTCCCCCCGGTCTGGGAGGACTCTACATGTTCCAGTGGAACGATGACAATTGTGAAACCAAGAACAACTTCATCTGCAAATACACTGCAGGTATTGCCACCGGGTACTAATTCAGTCTTGTTTCACTTGGAAATATTTGAACACTGCTGACCTAAGATTCATTTTCTCCTCAGAGAAGCCACTGTACCCTTCCCCTTCTCCCAACTCCACTCAGACAGGTAAAATGATTGTTCAGACAGTGACATGGAAAACTATTTAGCAGAGCTTTCTGGGTAATATAAAACTAAGGAAGACAATATGAACATTATGACTGCCTTTCATTACAGATGTCTTTCCTTCATCTGTGCTGCCGTGGAATCCAAGTGACTCTGACCAGGACAGAAGAACAGGTCATACCGATAAACCTTTTTGCATTTTCTGCCAAGAGAAAGAGGATACACTCACTACGCCAACATGAGTCACTAAATCTGCATCTCTTTTGTCTTTCTTTTAGCTGTGAATTTGGTTTACGTCATCATTCCCACTATTCCCCTCATACTGCTGTTGCTGACAGTGTTGGGAGTGTGCTGCTTCAAACTGCTTGTCAGACGGTGAGGATCCAAAACAAAGGCAAATACTAAAGACAAGTACTAATAACTACTAAAAAGATTGAATAATAGTCATGTTTGCTAGCCGTCCTTCCATGACTTTTTTTTCAGTTGTTCACCAGGTCTGAGATTAGTCCTTTGAGGGGCAACATTAGGTGGCATTGGCTGACATATCACACATAAAGTGAATTCAGTTTAAAAAAAAATATATGTCCAAAATGATGGAACAGTAGGAAGTGTTCTGTTATTGTAAACGTTTGTTTTTTTTTACTGGCAATAAATTTCCTGAAAAAAACCAAACCAATAACGCTACAGTTTGTTTTTCAATACGTTCTAACATTCCTTCCATTTCTCAAGCACTCTTACTGAAAAAGACATTTTTAGAAATGGCTTAAAAATGTGTAGTTTCATGTTGAAAAAGCCCAAGACAGTTCCTTAAACAGCTGGGCACTGCATTAACATTTCTCCAACAGCAGTGAATAATGCGTTCACTGAGGGATTATTTTCAACAGCGGATGAATACACACTAGCAAACATTCACTGCATTGATCAAGTTAAAATAAAACCTTAGTTTCAACAGAAGTAGAGAAATAATGGGCTTCACCACCTCAGGAAAACTGTATCTGTCATTGTCCTCTGCATCTTACAAACAGCATGGTCTGGTGAAGTTAATCGGTAAGTTAATGCTTCAGGTGTCTTGTTGTTTATGGTTCTCTGTGTGTGAGACAGAAAGAGGAAACAGCAGAAATCAGAAGTTTGCCAGACAGACCCAGGAATCTGTCCGAGCCCGGCTCCAACCGACGTCTACAACGTCATCCGCTCCCAGAAGGATGACGACCTGGTTTCAGCTCGACCCCACACCAAAAACACCTCCTTTCTATGCTCCTCTCCCGACACACCGACAGGCGACTATGACAACCTCGGGGGTCGGGACACGGAGAGCGGCTTTGTGACTCTTGCCAGCACGGAGAGCTGCTTCCTCAACTTTGACCTCACTGACCTCACCCTTGGGCGTCGTGGCACCCGCGAATTCTACGACACCAGCTTGGGCCGCTCAGGAAAAAGAGACTTGAATGACAGCAGTCTGGGTCGCACCGGGCACAGAGAGTTTTATGACAGGAGTCTGGGTCGTCGTACAACCAAGAGCGAGCACTATGGCAGCAGCGTGTACGGGGATCACGGGCTGTATGATGCCAGTATCAGAGCAGGGAGTGACCTCTATGATCCCAAACTGAGGCCTGGAGGTCTCACAGGAAAGGTCGACTTCTACCAGACATACGTCACCAACAGCAAGGACGACACCTACCAAACCAGCCTGGGAACCTACGGAAACCGAAAGTCCTACCAAGCAAATCTGGACCTCTACAGAAACGGGCTGAATCTGGATGGTGGAAGGAGATACTTCAATGAACAGGATTGGATCAACAGAGAAAACTACTGATCCTCGAAACAGCTCCTTAAATATGTGTACAGTAGTGTAAGTGTGGCTACGAATGAGAATGAGAGAATGGCAAAAAAAAATCTGTGCATGTATGTGTTTTTAATTGTTTATATGGTCTGTTTAGGGCATGAATATCTGGTGAGAACATGTTTAAATAATTTTGCCTCTGGCCCCAAATTAAGCAGGTCTGTGTGGCTATTAGTTTGCAATAATCTAACACAAATTTGTTTAGGAATACTTAAAATTAAAGAATTTGCTTACACATGTAACATTTTTTTCACTTATCTATGCAGGTAGAAATTTTGTCAGATCTGTCTATAGCATTGCTGCCTCCAAAGCAGTGCAATTGCATTGAATAAAATTTGGCTGATTACTCGCAGCACTAGAAAATTATATTTTGATAATTCAGGCCAAAGCATATTGAGGTTAAAAAAAATCCAGAATTGCGGCATTCACTGTCACTACTTTCTACTGAAGACAGTGTCTGCGGAAAATTGCTAAACTGAGATGGAGGCAGAATTCCCAAAGCCAAAAACCTAAAGAGCTGGAAAAGACAAAAAAGTTTTTGTAATCTAAACGAAGCAACACTTTAAAGGACGATTGAGGCGACATTTACTTTAGTTCAGCTGATTTTACATATCGAAGTTTGTTTGTAGTTGTATTAATCTTTTCGTGTCACCAGATGGAGCTGCGTGAAATCGGATAAAATTCCAGTCACTTGAGTCGGCTACAGTTTAAGACCACGAGACTGAACTAAGTTTGAACAAAGTGAGTTTGTCTGACCTCTGTAGCCTGACCCCTCCTCCCTGCACAAGGTCAGCGGATCAAGGCTACGTTATCTGCGATTAGAATCACGAATCTTTGTCGACTGTGGAGCTGCACTGAGGTTAATGCAGGCATCAGGTATTGACAAGAAGAGGCTGACAGTCAAACCTTAAACAGGCATCCATATCATTTATGCTACAACTCAACTTTCCTCCCCCAACACATTGCAACATTACCAAAATTTAAATCCAACAACGGGATTACAAGAAAGTTTTCCAGCTAAAGTGTGTGTGTAGCAGCCCGTTTGCATGTCCTTGTCATGCTTGCTTGGTAGGATGACTGCTGAGGGCTCAGACCTCACATTTGCTGTGCCTGAAAACGCTGTTTCAATCACACCCAAGTTTACCTGATGTAGACAGGCTACGTCGAACAGATTAAAACACAATAAACCAACACTGTGTGAGGAAGTTGGTTTCGTGAACTGTACACTGTGTGTTTTGCCTTAAACTGTGAGATGTCCAGAACTTGATGTGCTTGCTCCATTAGTGATTAATGGCGGCCATTGAACAAGTCACAGTGAAAAACAACGTGGAAAGTTAGCTCCTACAGTGAATTTAGCTTCAGTGCCTGCAGCCTGACCACAGAAAATGGCATGATATTGAAGTAAATGATCAAGTATAGCATTATTATTAGAATTATTATTATTTAATCAGAATGTATAAAGCCTTGGTATCTCTCCTGCAAGTGAGAGTGGTTTGTATGTTTGTTACACAAGGAAATCTTCAAATAAAATGACATCACAATTGAACTTGAGGAGCTTGTGGTGTTTTTACTGTCCTAATAAAAAAAAGCAACAACAAAAAAAAACAGTGGAGTTGTATTCACAGTCAATCGTGTTTTTATTAACATTCCAAGTTAAATTAAGACCGCACCCTCACTTTCACTCATCTCCAGCACTCACACCCAACAGAGCACATAATTAGACAGGCCAACACTACAAGACTTTTCAGATTAATTGGTCAGATATGTTCTTCCATTCAGGCCACGTTTTCAAATGTAGCATGAAAACACTTACATTTGTGTGTGGTGGCCTGTTCTGGAATATATTAATGTTAAAATCTTGCAGTGTGCATCCATTGTAAGACATTCATTTCCACACAGACATACAAAATCAGATAAAATGTCCAGCTGATATCTGCCAAGCACACCTGCACACGCATCATTTTCTCTTCACTCTCGCTCACACACACACACACACACACACACACACACACACACACACACAAGCCCAAAAGCAGACTTAATGTCTTTAAAGGGACTGATATCTTCAAAAGTTTCATGAGACAAATACTTCAAATTACATGCACGCTGACACACAAACACCAGCTGTTTTGAGCGGAAGTGATCGACTCCTCTTGTTAGGATGTTGTACTTGGGGTCAGGTGGAGGCTCAGAGGTCAGCCATGGCTTCGCTTACGAGGCTGTTTTTGTCGCCGAGGTTTCAAGATGACGTAGCGCCTGTAGGTCGTGTGGTGGTCTGATATAAACGGGATGTAGAACGCTCTGAGAAGAGGAGATGATCTGAGGGGGAAAACGCTGCATTAAAAGACTGCATCTCTTTCTTTTAAATCTGAGTATGCAGGAAAAACAGATGGAAATATTCATTTGATATTTGTAAACAATTAGCATTGCACTAAAGTTCTCCTGAATGTTCACACATTTTATTTCAGTCTCTACTCTGGTCTTTATTGTTCCTCTTTTTTAACTACAATAAACTATGATTTGTCTATACTGAATGTTTTTGTCTATTTTAGTGTCAATTCTGTATTTCTATAAATACCTTGATGCTTGAAGAAAAGGCTTATAAGCAATGATGTTCCACTCTTCTTTGTTGGCTGAATAACGTGGCTCAAGTGGCGTCTCTTCATCTATGTCCAGGTCCACTACGTAGTGGCATGTCCTTAAATCCACCTGGATGGAGTGGACATACAACAGTTTAAATCAAATGCTCTTAACTACAGTACCAACACGTCAAACATACATGTGCCTTACTTACATATCTGGACGGCTCCTCCAGGTTCTGGTCATTCATATTGGCTGGGATGGTCTGTGTGGCCAGAGGATCGGAGGCATATGGCTGAGGCAGCTGCCCCTTAAATTCAGACTGAATGAAGTGCAGTTGCCAGCTGGAGATTAGAAACGGGCTTTTAGCAGGAGACGCAGTCATATCTGAATATCATAAAATACACTTTGCATATTTTATTAGACACTAAAAACCTGTGACGTAAAGTTGGTGACTGACTTGTGTGGTAGAAGGAAGCTGCTTGGAAAGCGGTACCACTCTTTGCCGACACACACGCTGACAGGTCTGCCTTCAGGCACCAGGTGTAGAGTTGGATCCTTGGCGATGCGGTGAAACTCTGGGTACAGGTCCAGAGGAGCATGGTAGCCTGTAGACAAACCAAAATATCTTGATCATCTTAAGCTGTCTCTTTTGTTACCGGACACTGCTGCTGAGGGAGAATGTCGTCCGTTTGTACACACACCTCTGAAGAGAGCAACGGAGCGAGACAGCGACAACACTGTGAAGACCACGACTGCACTAAGAGCCAGCCAGTTGGAAGAGACCGTGTAGTGCTCCAGTCGGTACCGCTGGAACAGAAAGTGGTAGCATTTCTGTGGGAAATAAAAGCACATATAAGCAGGTTAAAACAATTAAAAACCCACTGACATGGAACTATTTTGTCCTCAAAGTAAAAATCTGAAAATGGCAGACCACACCTGCAGAGAGGAGAGGGCTACAGCCCCACTGAGGCAGATGAGAGGGTAGATGGGAAAGAGAAAACGTTCCTCTTTATGTGGTCTGGTGAAGAAAACCAGCATCCACAGATACATGGGAGACAGAGTCAGCCAGTATGGACGGCCCAGGTTCTGCACTGCAGGGAACACATGCGTGTACAAGCACATGAAAACACATGAGGAGTTGCTTTGATAACTAACAGCACAGCACTTATAAACTCATAAAATATTTTATTTTATTTTGATCAGTATCTTTATTTATACCTGTACTGGGGAGGAGTATACTGAGTGTATTAATTATTATTATTATCATCATCATCATTATGATTATTATTATTGTTCATGCACACGTAAAGACAACATTGACATTTTTATTGCTAGTGTAGGAAACACGCCCTCACCATTGAACCTGTGTAACAGAGTCTCCATGAGAGCAGTGAGCGGCAGGGAAAACAGCGCCAGAGCAAACACCAGGTTGAAGTTCAGGATGCCATTTAGAAAGTAGAAATGCCACGGCTCTGTGCCTGAAAATGAAACAACACAGGCCAAGCAAATTGATACAGCTGATGTACAGATGTTCACAACACAATGTAACAAAATCATTACTAATGCTCTGTTTAGCTCTCGTCAGGCCAGTTTTCTTGGTGTGATTTGAGATTATTCAAATGCTATATAGTTTTAATGCCCGCTGTTGGGGCCAGGGGCTGTAACAAAAACTGGTGAAACACAGCAGTTTTAGTGTTTTTTTGTTCCGCAGTTGCTGAAATGAAAGAGGTACCCAACAAAAACAAGGCATGTGTGTACAATGCCATATGTAGTCAGACATGTTTTACTTCAAGATAAATAAGAAAACACAACTTTAAGTGGCTTCTGGTGAAATATGACAAAATATTTAGTCCACTATAACATTTTAAGAGTATGTTTCCCCCAAGTTAAATCCTGCTTTTATGGCTGATCTTAATATGAAAACACTATGAAAAAATGACATGTGTGCTTTGTTAAATTACCGTACAGATCAGGTCCATGTGGTGTAAAGACATTGTACAGTAGAATATTAAGTGGAGCGATCACCAGTTTGCCATAAAAGAAAGAATCCACTGCCACCAGAGGTACCTGAGAAACGCAAACAAGATGAACAAAGGAGAAAATGAACGGACTCAGTTTGTGTAAACATTTGGCTTTAGCAACATATATGTAATTTATAAAACAGCAAATATATCTACACATATCAACTTTGGCAATGTCTGTGTTTTGTCAGGACAAAGTGTAACATCCCATTATATTCCCACATTAATGATTGACTAAATCCTTGCAGCTGTGATACTGAAGAAACTCATCTACATACACCTTTTCCCAGTAGTAATTAAATTAAAATTGTACTTTCAAATTTGTTTTACAAGCACATCTGAAAACATTCTCACCAGCAGCAGAAGCAGAGCAACAGCTGACCAGGTGATGAAACTTTTCCACTGCCTCTTTAACACCAGCAGATCGAAGGCAATCGGAAGCCTGCAGCGAAAATAAACCAAAGATGTATTAAAAGTAGTTTTTTTCTGACAAGCTTCTTTGGGAAAAGTGTTAACAACAAGAAGGCAGTTAAGTTTAGAGTCGTACCCAATCAAAGCAGAGAACGGCCATCCAACAATGGCCCCAGCAGCCACGCCCAAAACAGCTAACGGTGTCGAGTCCTGAAACCAACCCGTCATGGCAACCAGTGTCGTGTACATGCAGAAAGAGGAAGGAAGGAATGCTGAGGAGAAAGAACAAAGAGAAGGGTGAATCATAAAAAACCAGACAGCAAACAAGAACCTGTAGGAGATACAGATCTCATTCTTGACATGTCACCCTGGCAAGGCTGAATTCATACAGCCTTCATAGGATCAGGGGAATAAAGCGAAAATACAGACAAGAAATGTGTCACAAATGCAAAATGTGACCCTAAAAAAAAAAAGTTGTCCACCTTTTCGATCAGTGTGTTAATTTGACAATAAAGAAGTTTGAAAAATAACTTATTCAAAAAAATTGGATGCAAAACACCAAAGAAGGCTGAGATGGAGTCAAATAGTTAACTTATAAAAATTAGTAAAAATTAAGAAAGAAAGTGGATTAACCAAGTGAATAAATTGGACAAACCTGCAGATGAGCAGAACATTCCTGTGCTGAGGACAAGAAATGCCAACATCAGACGGCCCACGTGCAAGCCAAACTTCTTACAAACCGCCCTATGACACACACAAACAAACCAAACGGTCACCTCTTACATCATCGCACGGATTCCTACATAATTAAAAATTTAAAAGCCAAAGCGCTACAACACCCACTTGCATTTAAGAGGAGGGTAAACTCACTTGTAGAAATAGAGTTCACAGACACAGCAGGAGAATGCTAAGACACATCGTACAAAGTAGAACACCAACACCTGCAACACAGTCATAGCACAAGCCTGTAACTACTGCATACGTTCCAGTGTAATGTTATACACACCTCTATGTGTGCATGTGTGAATTCATGCTTTGAGTGGCCCCACGGAGGAACATTTAACTAATCAGTTTTTCCAGATTTCTCCTAAAAGATATGTTTGTTTTTCCATAAAAGTAGCACACTGTTTTAAAACTTATATGTCCAACAGATTTTTAGTTTCCTATGAAAAATGTTTTCGGAGGAGCAAAAAGGCGGGATTCAAAAAAGGTACTGGTTATGCTTTCAGTCAGCGGGGAGATTTAAAATATAAATAACAACACACATTGCAATGAGACCTTGGAATAGTTACCTTGTTTGTCTGTAGAACATGGGCATGCAAACACGCAGGAAGAGCATGTAACCATAAGTAAGCATAGGACCTGATGGCGTACAATGGAGAATATTCCCATGTTTGCATTCCTGTGCCGTACAGCAGGTAGTGCATCTGTCAAAATGCAACAATAGAAGGCGTCAGCAGTTAAAGAAAGACAATTTGCTTGAACAGTAAAGAGACACTGCAAAAATGATTCTGACGTAGATGTTAGAAAAAACAATCGCTTCTGAGAGTCGTACTCACAGGCTCCCAGTAGTTGAACGTCTCGTCACAGTCTGAGATGTTGCTGAGCAAAGCTGCACAGAAACGTGCAGAGAGGAGGCATTTAAATGCAGTTGAACCTTCTGGAGCCCATACCTGCCCTCCACGACTGATGGACCTAATGAAAGAAAAACAAAAACACAGTTGCCAAATATTAAAATTTAATATACAACTCAATGACATATTTTTTTCCTAATATGATTCAGAGGATATAAAATGATATCAAATTGACGTTTTCTTTTTAGATTATATGTCAGCGTATTAAATAAGTGCATCATGTCTGTTTTGTATAGATTTACTGTCCAATTAGTCACCAGTCTTTTAACATGCACAGACTTAATTGCTTTGATATTCCACTGGTCCTGCTTTTAATAACGCACCAATTAAGCCCCCGGTGGTGGTGGAAAGATGAAGCATGTCAGAGCTGGAAAATTAATACGCAATTAAATACAAAAGTTAAATGTGTGGTGGATCAGAAAGTAAATATCAGCTTACCGCAGAGAAAAGTCCTAATTACAGTAAAGACTGAAGGACTGTCTCCCACAGAACACAACAGAGCAATATCTGAGCACTGTCACGTACTGTTTCAAAAGCCTATTAAAACTAATTACACAACATACATCTGCACAGATAGCCTTCACTGTTCTTCCTGTTCCTGTTTTCACAATTAGCAGTCTGTTTGCTGTCGGTTTCCAGCTTGCAGCTCTGCACCGTCTTATTCTGTACCGTCATTACATTTTCTGTCTCTAAGTGTAGCCCTGTGATAGATTGGTGACCTGTCCAGGGTGTCCCCTGCATTCACCCTAAGTTGGCTGGGATAGACTCCAGCCCCCCACGACCCCAGTGAGGATTAAGCGGTGTATAGATAATGGATGCATGATTATTAGCTTTAACACTATTTCTTCAGCATGAGCATACTGTGTAACTTATCCCTCCTTCTGCGTGGGACACTGAACACTGAATGACATCAGCATCATTTGCAATATTACTTTCTCAATATTACATTCAACATCAGTTTCAGTTTAATTTGCAAAATTTCAGTTTTGTGAGCAATATTTCATTATCATAAGCAATACTTTGGCATCATTACCAGTATTACTTCCTATGTTTCTATTTTGGCTTACTTATTTTTACTAATATATTGTACTGATATCTCATTGCTCGTCTATGAGGCACTGCTTTGATTTTACTGTAACTTTTCTCTAAGCAACATCAGGTACAAGAATTTCCTTTGGGATTAATAGAGTTTTTTCCTATTCTTAGAAGCACATACCACACTGTATTTTTGCAACACATATTGTTTGTGTTCTGAGTGCAAACAAACCTACATAAATGCCAACATTTGCAATTTCTATTAGAGTGTTTCTGCATTATCACTGGAGAATTACGTATTTACTTACTATGTCTAGCCATACCTTCCCAGATGTGGGATACTGTTGTTGAGAGTAATGAGGCTCGCATGAGTGAAGGCATCTAATAGGAACACTTGATGAGTGTTTACAGTGATGACAGTCAGACTTCCTTATGTCCAGCACGGGTTCCTTTGTTCACACTCTTCATCAGATTAGTCAGATTAGTGGGATCAGCTGCAGCTCAGCGTCGAGCCTCACGGTACGTTTTTATTATTATGACACGTCACCTTACAAACTGTCACAATCACCCTCAAGGGGCTGCGAGTCAACACCAGCCGCTGATTTACAATAAACCTGTCAGTCCATGGCTGACCCGGTCAGGTCAGGTAACCTGTGCTCAGGTCGGGTAAGCTGTGGTCAGCTCTCCTAAAGCTGCTGGTGAACACCTGGGCAGAATGAATGGAGCTGAGCAGGTAACTCCGCGGCGTTACGTTGCTCCACTAACACATAAACAACGCAACTAGTTATTGAGGCGGAAACACAACTAAATCGTCAATGCAGTTCAAATTACTGTCAACGCGGAGTCTTCACGGTTATTCGCTGGGCGTTACTAATCCTCGTTATCGTGTCAGTACAGTCAAAACTTGGTTAACGTATCAAAGTAGCTAGCTAGCTAGCTTCCGCTGCTCCGCCTGTCAGTCACACCGGGGATGGAGCTCGCAGCACCGGCGCTTCTACCGGCTCTCCTCCTGGCTCATACTCACTCTTGACGAGTCTCTGTGAGTTTACTGTCATCGCTGACTTTCTCCTCTTTCGGTGGCCGAGGTTCGGCAGGGATATTCACGTTGTTTGCGTCTTGTCTGCTGCCTCGCCTGGTTCGCTGCCGGAGCGCCTTGGCCGCCATGTTTACCGATGCTGCTCCCGAGTGGCGCTTCGGTCATTTTCGCCTCCGTCCGGCGATTGACGGCTCTCCTCTTCTGAGGAGGTGGAAATGTGCGAGAAGTCATCTCAGCGTCTTTTATTATGATTTCCATAAGCACTTCGTACACAAATGAAAATAAATGTGCCTTTTTAAAAAAAAAAAAATCATTTTAAATGAAACCTCCAAAGGGATTAGGAATTAGCAGCAACCACAAATGACCTCTTACATACCAGCCTACATGACACTATTTATTTAATCAAATCCCCTTGATAGACAAGGAACAACCAGCCTGGGAGAGTTTTTTGGGAGAAAAAACAACTACTAATTTGATGTAAAAAAAACATGCAATCAAGTGACAGAGATACATTTCCGATTAATCGGCTCTACTGAATCGGTTACACACAGTAAGAGTCTAAATAGAGTCGATAGGAAGAATAAAGTTTACAATAATCAGTGGTGGAAGAAACATTCAGATCCTAAAAGGACCAAAGCAGCAAATGTAAAATACTATATAACAAGAAAAAGTCCTGCTTGAAAAATCTACTTTAGTAAAATTATGTAAGTATTAGCACCAAAATATAGCTCCAGTATCAAAGTAAAAGTATGCCTTTGGTCTCTTTGACTGATATAGTATTATATGTGACAACAATATAATTATTACTGAAGCACCAGTGTGTCAGCAGCATCTTACTGTTGAAGCTGCTGCAGGTGGAGCTCAATTGAAACTGAGATAATTGATAGGAGATGAAAAAAGAAATCTGTTCAAATCTGTTTTTGGACTTTTTTCTTTTTTTTTTTTTACTTAATCTTTGATTTTTGGTGAGATATTGGAGCATTTATACATACTGAAATTAAATTATGTGACAACCCTAACCCTTAAGACAAAAGCCACAAAAAAACAGGTTGGAAACTACTGGTTTAAGCTTCAACAATGTGTTGTCATTTAGGTTCTTATTATATTACGCATTGTGTAAAACCTTCATCTTAAACGTAACTAATGCTGTCTGAAAATGTAGCGCCGTGTCACTATAAAGCAGCATAAAATATTCAATTCATCAACATTGTACTTAAGAAAATGTATTTCGTTATTTTCCACCAGTGACAATCATGTACTAACAATAACTTAATATACATCTGGGTTTAAGTGGAGCAGTTATTTCAAGAAAATTCAATAAACTCAGTTGAAGGAATCCTTTCGACTCTATTAGCATTGTCCTATAATCTATACCAATATATTCTCTATATTGATCCTCTCAGGACATCTGCTTGCTGTTACAACAGAGGAGATTGATTTCAGATGTGGTGTATTGTGAAATGCCAGATTTCTTACAATGTCAATTTGTTGTCAACCATGTACCACATGTGACTTTCAGCACAATGACTGCCAACAGACCACAAATTTATGTTAAAGCAGCTTTATTATAGGATTAAGACACATACACGGAATTGAAGTCACATTTCACAGTATAGTAAGCAATGCCTGAACCACTGTAAACACTGTTCACCTACAGTTTTGCACATTATACATTTATACTTTTCTTAGCAGTTACAAACAGCCTTGTCATCATAATGCCTTTGAAAAAAAAATAAGAGGTTAAATCCCTGTTCCTCTTTGAGTTTCAAGTGGCCGTTACCTGATGGTCACCTGCAACCAAGACGAAAGTAAAGACTCCAAGTGTTTGTGAAACTGGAGGGCTTGTGTGTGTGACAGAGCGTGTGTGTGTGAGTGGTAGATGAGTCTGTAGCAGTAACTGGTCTGGCTCAGGTCAGGATGTGAGAACATATCAATGAGTTTAACCTGCTCCACGGTCCCGCGGCTGGCCTCCCGGACCACGCCGTGGAATTTCTTCTCCTCCCATATCGGCCCCGTCCAGAAGCTGATGTCAAAGTTGAAGTGCTCAGGGAACAGGGAAAATGGGCGAAAAGGAGTCCCTGGTGATGGGCGAGGTGTAAACTGTTTTAAGAAACGTGGGTCATGTGACCACAGCAGCCGCCAGTCGGGGAGCGAGAACAGGAGCACAGCAAGGAGGTCCAAATTTAGAGACACAGTGACGCTGACATTGTTGTCACTTGCAAATAGTTTACCAACCAAACCCATCGGCTGCGCCATCAGACGCAGACCTCCCTGTTCTGCTACCAGGGAGACCCCATACGGAGCGAGAAGTGTTTCCAACTTATGTCCGAGCGATTTAATTGGATCACTTTCTGGAGGGAAAACGCCTCTGAGGAGAAGCTCATGAAAGGCAGGCAGAGCCCAGAGGCTGATGGGAACATTCCTGAACACCACGCCACTAACGCCAAATAAGCTGGTAACACCATTACAGCCCCCGCAGGCCTCATCCTCCTTGTTCCCTTCACTGTCATTATTCCCCTCGTGACTCCCTGCATTGTCAATTAGCTCCTCTTTTTTAGTTGAAAGCTCTTCCATCTGAGGGAGCAGTGAAGGACGCAGCAAATAAAGACCAGTTTCCCCTTCAGGGTCAACATCAATAGAGCATGCAGACCTTAAGCTCTCAACTCCTTTGCTTTTGATCCTGTCCACTTTATCTGAGGTAACACACGAGGCTGACGGAGTTTCTCCTGTGTCGGCACATCCCTGATCTTTTTCTCTCTCTGTGGATGTGTGAGCGTCGGAGCTGAAGTCTTTCTCAAGCGGGTGGATCCAATAGCAATGTGTACTCTCGCTGTCGCAGCATGTCTGCAACTGTTTGGCCGTGAGGAGATAGGGAATGGTCTCTGTCGTCATGGAGACCAACCACTTCTCCGCCAGTCCTTCGAGAAGAAAATCCTGCACCAACTTGACAGGGTGGACAGAGTCTGAGCAGAGAAATCTCCTGATGAGAAAGAACAGACAGTGAGCACGGTTTTTCTTGAACTGGTGGCTTATTATTCAAGCAGCATGAAAATCTCTGTACCTGAATATGAAATCACTGAGTTCAGCTGGGATGTTGTACTGAACTGTCTCCCCTTCAACAGCCTCCTCCACCTTAAGTGTCTGGCCAGAGGTGTAGGGGAGGCTACGAGTGAACACATGGAGCAAACCTTTCTCCACATGAAAGCCCTTGTCCTGGCTCCTATACAACAGCGATACCGTCATTAGGCAGGGTCAGTATGCAAACACGCAGCAACAACACACACAGGGGACACAATGGGCTGCTTCTACTCATCCACTGTAACACTCACCTTTACTCCTTACCTGTATCCAGTGCACTTGTAGTTCTGGTATCTCTCACTTTCAAAAGGGTGGACAGCACTAAGGATTAGATGTGCTTCTGCTGCCATGGCAGCCACCTGCCAGCTGTTGTGCCACTCTCGCTTCGGCTGGTCCGCTGGCGTCCCGCCCTGCCCATTGCACAAGGAAACATGAACTTCTCCGTCTTCAGCCAACACCTGGACGCAACTGGAGGCACAGAAAAACACTGGTAATGGGTGTGTTGCCATTAACAACAGAAGGTTTAAGTTTCTAAAGTACACATTCATGGCAAAATAAAACAAAAATCAGTTTTAAGTGCCTCAGTAAGATGCAGAGCCACCACGTGCCACTACAATAGCTTCAACAAGCCATGACATTGATTCTCAAGTCTCTGGAAGTGTACTAAAGCAAAATAACACCATTAATCTAAAAAAAATATTCCCTCATTTGGTTTTTGTCGGCGGTGGTGAAGAGCACTGTCTAGCACTTCGTTCCAAAACCTCCCACAGGGGTTAAGATCTGTGACTGTGAAGGTCATGATGTTTTTTTCAGCAAACCATGCAGCGACCCCTCGTGCCCTAATGATGGGAGCATCCTGTTAGAGGCTCCCATCAGGACAGAAATGTTTCATCGTGGGATAAAGTTAATCAATTACGACAACTTTGTATTGATTTGCAGTCACCCTTCAATCTGAAGGGATAAGTGGACCGACATGATGCCAGCAAAATACCCTCTGTAGCATAACAGAGCCACCAGATCCCCTCATTCAAGGAGCCAGATGTTCAGATATTTCCTTTAATCTGTCATCTATTTCTAAGTGGACAATTGGCCCTAAAGAATGATAGATTTTCTTTCTTTCTTTTTTCTTTTTCAAACTACCTCACTTTAAGCAATATCAATTATGTATGAAAAATAAATCTTTTTTTTCAAAAATGTCTTCTTTGCCATAACAAAAGACGAAAAAATTGCTCACAAAATATTTTTTTTCAAACTTAGAGAAGCTCTGAGCAAGCATTCAATGCTAGCTTGAGGTACTTGCTTGGTATCAATAATTAATGCCAGATCATATTTTAGTCAGGACATGAAACAAAACTGAAGAATGATACACTTATTGTTACAATTTGTAGTTATTAGTCAAAATCCTGTTATAAACTGTTATAAATTAGAATGGAACATTTTTTTGCTGAACAAAAAATTTACAATGTGATTATTTTGACAGATTTACGATTTGGTGGGAATAGTAATTTGTGCATTTTGTTTTAAAATAATAATTTTAAAAAACATTATGAATGTACCAACTTCATAGGGATGGCAATTGCTGAGTTGGTTGGTTTATATGCTGCAGTCTGCATCAAATAGGCAGGTTCCCTAAGGACTGGAGAATGTGATTTATAGGCCTGGGCATCTCTGTAGCACCGCAATACTTAATTCAAAATGGTGACGCTGCAGCTCAAGCAATCTGGATATTGCACTTGTTGACATTGCAATTTCAGTGATATTTCGATAAATCGTCGGTCGAAGTAAAAAAATAACCTACTGCACCACATTGATGTTTTAAATGAATGTTTTGAAAGAGCACATTTGATTAGAAATAAAGCACTTTTTTTTTGCTTTATATAGTAAAATAAAATAAATCATCCAAGGTCTAAAAGCGCCAGTCAGTTGACCTTGAGTTATCAGTATTCTTATTTTTTCTCAAACTTTTTCATCATCAGCTCACATTATATCTAAAAAATGTGCACAGATACATGATGGATGTTGGAGGAGAATCTCAGAAAACAGAAAATGCTTTGAATGGATTACAGTTCAATGCAGCTGTACCTGAGGAAGAAGTTTTTGAGAAGTTCTCTGTTCTTTTTAACCCCACTCTTTCTCCCACAGTGAGGAAAGTTAAAGACCACCCGGTCAAACACACGGCCCTGCAGAGAGGCACACTGCTCCAGCTTTGTGCAGTCCACCTCAAAAAGCACCGTTCCACCTGAGTGACAAATAAGGAAAATAAGTACAAGAAAAAAAAAAGTGTAGCCCCATAATAACAATCAGCTTTGCGACAATCCCACCAGAGCTGTACCTGAGTCCTTGATGGTCTGAATGTTGCTGGCTGCACCTTCGTGCCGCAGTGCCTCCTCCTGATGCTGCAGACAAGTGGCCGTTACGCTGGTCTCTGATTCCGAGTACAGCTGACTGGCAGAGGCAGAAAAGGAGAAGTTCCCTTCTCCCACCAGCAATATGGACCGTGAAGGAGACATATCCAGCCCGAGTGGAGTCGGAGGGATACGCAAAAAAAGTCAAATTCCTCGAAAAAGTTGTCCCGAAACCTGCTCCCGCTTTTTACCGCTCAGAGCGCGACCATGGACGGTGCGACAGAAAAGAGACGCGTGTAGGAGTGATAATGACCACCTTCTGTCTTCTTCACGCTCTAATATGTTACAATAGCAGCATATTTTAGTTAGTAACTACCGTATTTTGCGTCTGAGATCGGCTCGGATAAAAAAAACAAAGTATTTCTACTCCTCTGGTAAATGAAGGAGATGACCTTCTCCTGCTCCCGACGCTGCAGCAACATGAAAGCCGAATATTATCTCACCTGTAGCAGCTTGCGTTGGACGCGGTGTCGCAGATACAGTAGTCCGACGAGAAACAAAACTAGAGGAACGCTACGCAATTCCCCTAACCCTCCCTGTCAACCAGCGAATGTATTTTAAGTGAAAGGTAGGCAACTGGAAACGTATAGGCGACATTCCCCGTACATTACAATTGAAATGTCGGTTTTGCGCACGTAAATGTAAAAGTATAATTTTTTATACGACCTGAAAGGACCCGTCGTGTTTTCAGAGGGACACATTAGCGGCGCTGTGGTGGGGGGAGCTAATTGCAGCATCAGTTGATCCCAGCATCCGTAGCCTTCGCACATCAAGTTGTAGTTTATCAAATTATAAAAGCCACATGACAGCTTTTTTGATGTGCCGTTCTCGGTTCCGCTCGATATTTTAAGGCCTCTCGACCATATACGAAGTAGGTACTTATACCTTTTTTTCCCACAATGCATGTCTGTTTCTCCTGATGCTAAGGTCATGCTAGCTAACGGAACTGCTGCACCTGCACATGAAAACATCAGATGAGCCTTGCATGATGCACGCTGTCATAATCCTTCTTGCAATTCCAGATTTAGGTTCACTATAAAACAACTTAAATAACTAGCACAATAAGGTTAAAATTATGTATCTGCTTTTATTTAATTTTTACATTTTTGCTATCTTTTAATGTCATTTCTTCTTCTTTAAACACCCAACTGACCAAGGAAAATGGGTTTTACCTTCTAAAGTGGATTTCAGTGCATGTTCCTTCTCTGCTTCTGCCCCCTTTATATAGGACAGAGTTTGGCTTTGAAATAACTGCATGCCCAGGCTCTATATAAGATAATAAATGTCTCCCCCTTGCCTCTCTGTGTCCTTCAGGAAGTGTTGCGCCCACATGGGCAGTGTTCTGGCTTTGTCTTCCAGTCCGGGCCATCAGAACTGGCCTTTCTCCACAGATCCTCCTCCTTCTCGCTGGGACGCACATCCTGCTCACTGGGACAGTCCACCACGCTGGGAGAGGAGAGATGGCCGCCTACCCAACCCAGGCAGCTTTCACTCTCTCCACAGGAGCTGCAAAGGTACTCCTGGCTAAAAAGAAGGAGTGGTGGAAGGCACGCTGTCGTTTAGGAGGAGCAGACTCTGGGGAAAAACATTCACGTAGTTCTATGCTTGATGCAAAAGCATTTCACATGTAGCATAACAACCAGTATGTTCTTGTATTGAAGCATTTTTTCTATAAAAGTCATTGATTTGGAGAACAAAGAGTGTGTTGACATCCACATCAAAAGCCACATTGCTCTTCCATGCTTGGCTCTGCTAGAAATTGATTACATGATTGCTGATTGATCAGTGCACTTAACTTTCCATGAATAATGAAGGAAAGAACATTTTAGCAAGCATAATGGTGTAAAATTGAGGAATGCTACACAATTCTGAAAGCCTCAACGAAGCAAACGAATGTGTTTTAAGTGAAAGAAGCTGTTATTTTGTTACTTACAGCATTTCTTGAGAAGAAAAATGTAGCGTTGTGATCTGAGTTGTACATAATACGTTAATGTGAAAATGAAGCCATCTGGGTTGCTCTGAATGCGGTCGCTGTCAGAACTGATTATCAGTCAGACAATTACAGATCATATGTATCCAAAATGTGTTACTCACATTGATGCTAAACTGTCATTTCTCTGTACCTCCTCAGATGTGTTTCCTCAACAGATTGAGGGTGTCAAGATGATTGTCAACAAAACTCTGAGCAGCTTCTTCAAGGTGATGCTTCCACCCACATTCATTTATAAGACAATAATGTGTGATCTTTGATTTTGATGAATGTGTTTGCTTCCAGGTCAGTCATACGCTCCACCTCAGTGCTGTAAGTCCTTCATACTATCGATTCCACGTGGAGCATTTGCAGTCTGATGACTACAGCAAGGACAAGGTTAAGCACAAATCCCCACACACTTGATATGTTACCACTGGCTTCATCAATTAAGTTTTTATCAGTGACATTGCAAAAAAAAAAAAAAAAAGATGAAGACTGCCTTTCTGTGTTGACAAGTTGCACAATGTTAATTTTTCACATTTTAGGATGCCCCAGCGTTAATCGGTGAGATGGATTCTTCAGGTAGTCTGAACGCTCACGCTCTGCTGCATCTCACTGAGCGCGTACGAGCGAGAACAGTGTTCCAGGTTTGTACCTTTTCTTAACTCCATCTGTCACAAGTTCAGTTGCTGTTCCTAAATAAGTCCATAACTTTACAACAACGGCAAACAACTCAGTGTTTGAATTGTTGATTGTGTTTTAGACCCAACAGTCCCAGTTTGTAACGTGGCAGTTTGAGACCGAGTACAGAGGGAACGACTTCACTGCTGCTGTGACTGTAGCTAATCCAGACGTCCTCAGAGAGTCTGGTGAGAAATTAAATTAAAGTAATAGTGTGTTTATAGTATAGTAATAGCATCACTTAGTTTCACAGCCATCAATGTATAATAAAGATGCATTAATCTATTGGTACACTTTTATTATCTACCAATATTGAAATAATCCAGTGATTCTCTTTATGTTTTTTTTTTTACTAAATATAATTGTTGAATTAGTACTTATCATGATATGCTCTGTATATGTTTGTTTTTCTTGGACAGTTATCCTTGTAGCACACTTCCTACAGAGCGTGTCATCTGGACTGGTGTTAGGAGGGGAGCTGGTCTACCATCGGGGACGAGCAGAGGAAGGAGGAATTCTTACTTTGGCTGGACAATACTCAAGTCAGAGTTGAACTTTTTGGATTTTACATTGGATTTTAACTGAGCTGCTATCATTCCTGATGTGTCACGCTTTATTTAGCAGCTGTGTTCCACATTTTTTCTATGCAGGACCAAACTGGGTGGCAACGCTGAATGCTGGGAAAGGAGGTGCCCATGCGAGCTACTATCACAGAGCCAACAAACAGGTACGGCAAATGCTGTTCAAATACAACATTTACATCAGGTGTATATTGGTAATATGAATTTGTGCGTGCTTGCCAGATCCAAGTCGGAGTGGAGTTTGAAGCCAGCACCAGGACGCAGGAGACGACAACCTCGTTTGGGTACCAGATGGAACTCCCGGAGGCCAACATGGTCTTCCGAGGTAAATTTCTTTCTGCAGCTTTGATTCAAATGCCATGCTTAGTATATGAGACTGTTGTTATTTGTGTGTATCCAGGTATGATAAACAGTCGCTGCATAATAGGAGGCGTGTTGGAGAAGCGTCTGACCCCGCTCCCTGCCACCCTAATTATGGGTGCCTTCGTAAATCACAGAGGTGACAAGCTGCAAGTGGGCCTAGGTGTCAATGTGGGTTAATCCTCCGCTATCCCCTGCTGGAATTCCCTGTCAGGACAGTCGCCCGGAGACGTGTGTCAGAGGCTTCATCATGACCTGATCTCCTAAGGTTTATCAGCCTCAGCAAAACACCTTCTGTTTCTTTAAGTCGATGCATCTCACCTTGCAACCTACCTCTCGAAATGGAGGCGATGTTTTCTGAGTGGGTGACAAGGATTGCACTGGAGGAATAGATGAACCTTTTCTGGGGCTCGCACTATGTGACTGGAGATGTGTTACCGTCCCTGTAAAACCAGACTACACATCCCCTTCTGGACAGTCAAAACCGAAAAGGAAAAAAAAGGCATACTGCACTGTAAAAGTTTTATACTGTAGGTAGTCATAAAGAAACATAATGTGTATAGATTGTATTTAAAGATAATAGTGTTTTTTCTTATTTTACCCCAATTAACTAGAATTATTGATCTTTCCGCCTATTATTTTCAAAAGGTGGTTAGAAAACAAATACGTATTTTTTTCCCTCATTGTCTAGGTAGGAATTGGTTTATTGCCAGTTAAACATCAACTAATCCAAACAACAAAGCTCAGTCGCCATGCAATGCTTTTTGGCATTTGTCTCCTAAACCTTGATTTTTGGAGCTTCCCAGTGTTTGAATGTACCAACATGGATGTGGTTTGTAATGCTTGCTGCTGTCAGCATTACTGAACCCTCAGTATGTCCTCTGAAAGATAAACAAGTAAGCAATTTTGTGTTTGATTGTGGGTGCATCGTTGTTCCCAGTGTGTGCATCACATACACAGACAGATATTGGTTGATTCTAAGATAAAAGGTGCTGCTCCAAATGGACCAATCTGAAGCTGAGGGATGAGAGAGTTGGCTGTGCACCAAGTCTGCTGGGCGAGGACTGTACTGTATGTATATAGATGAAGGCATTCAGAAACACTAACCTGTATGCAACCTGCACTACTCTCACTGCATCTGGACATTTCCAGGGCTGTTTAACATATGAAATGTTGCATATGTATTATTTATACATTATGTAATATAAGCATGGAGAGAAGTTGAAGGGTGTGACTGTCTTTTTGGACTTAATTTATTAAAGATGTCATTTCTATTATAGCCTCTTTTCTTTTGTCTACGTGTGATACTAACCGACAGAGAAATACCACCTAAATCTGAGTTTAACCTCAACACCGAGGTGCTTTATATACACATGTTGAAGCATCTAGCAAAAATAAAAAACAGACATTTTTATCCAAAATTGTAAAAGATCAAAACTGAGCTTCAAGGAAACTGAATATTGGCCGTTCATTATGTGTCAAGACTAAATGAACTCTATTTTTTCCCACTCCTCTGTGCATTTATAAAGCAGATTCATGAAGCAGTAGAATTTGTGCTGAATTTGTTTGCTTAAGATGAACATTTTCCATTTTCAGTCCTTTCTGTGCAGATCCATGTATTTCCACAAACTTCATATGCAGTCACCGCCTTTAAAATTCTGGCCTCGTTGCGTCTAATCATACAATCACAGTGACCACAAGCATGTATTTAAAATACTGCTTTAAGATAGAGACTCTGTTGTGTCTTCAAGTATTTTAATATAAACTCTGAAATTACTAATTACTGTACATACATGTTACATACATATATACAAATACGTTCAAAAATGAGGTCTGTAAACATTTCAGTTGTTGATTCTGAAGTCACATTATAGCGTCCAACAAAAGGCTTAAAGTGGCAAAAGAGAAAGGCTGATATGTATGTGACACGTAAACTGCTGCCGGTGTTATTTTTCTTTGAAAAAAGAAGAGAAGAATCCTTTCCCTCTTTCTCCCTTCACTTTCAAAGACTTGCTTCTTTGGAGTCCTACGGTGTTGTCCTTCTCTCGTTGGATTTCTTTCTGCCTCTCCTCCTCTCTTTGCTGCACCTGCTGGTTGATCACCAACCGCATGTCCTCCTGCAGGAAGGTTGGCATGAAGAAAGAAAAGTCTACCTGTGCACTGTACTTTTTTTTTTTTTTTTTTACACGTGTTATCAAACGACATCATTTATAATTTCATCTCCCTGCACACACACTCACCTGCCAGGCGTCCAGCTCCTGAGACAGCGCTACTTTGTGTTGGATGGTGTTGAGAAGCTGCTGAGTCAGTGTTTCTTTCTCCTGACGCACCGTGGCCAGTTCACTCTCCAGCGAGCTAAATATTCATATGAAAATTAGAAAATCATATTTAGCCCTGAGTTCTAATAATATTGAATAAATTCAATTCAAATCGTTCAAATCAAAATATTTTTGCTGTGTAGCATCACCTGTAGCTTGGCTTATCAGGACTGCTTCTGAAAGGCTGGATTTCTTCCCTCAGAGACTCAAGTTGTTCTTGTTGAGATTGCAGCTGCAAAGTGTGCAAAGTGTTTTAGTCAAGTCACCATTATTGATACAGCACATTTTCAACAGCAGCTGTTGAGCTGCAGATCTGTGTTGCGTATTTACTCAAGTGCAAAAATGAAGACTACAGTGGAATTTATGAGGTGAATTCATCTGAGTAATTAAATATATTTAGAATCTTACAAAATGTATTCAAACACAGATTTTCCTGACTAAATTAAAATGTATGGCTAAGCTCTAAAGAGTTATCTGATTACTTTATACCCTGTAATGATCATTGCGTTGCACACTGGCTTCCAAACTAGTTGTGGTGTTACTTAAAAGCAGATTTAAGGTGAGAAAATGCACCATCGGCTATTTTCACATATCAAAATCTGCATGTACAACATTCATGAAAAGTTAAATATAGAGATTATTTGCCACACTGTGTTCTTTGCCTTTCAGCCAGCTGGTAATGAAACCAAATAACATTATTTTTGAAGTCCTAAGTTCTAAATTAGTGCTTCTTCGCCTATTATTAATGCAAGAGAAACCAGCAAATTCATCTTTTTTTTAAAATCCTGTACCATCAAGAAACCTTTCAGATAAATTCTAAACATGCTGAAATGTAATCCAGCACTAAATGACAGTATTTCTTCTGCGTGGGTCAATCCTTGTGTTAAAAAAGAGTTTAAAAGTGTATGTAGCTCGACAGACCTCCTCTTTCAGTGCTTGTATTTCTTCATCTCTTGCTTGCAGGATTGTGGAGTGAGCTAGAAGGGCCTCTTTAGCCTGGTGAACAAGAGAATTTAAAAGGTCAGACACTTTATTACAAGGCATAGAAGAGGTTGTTAATTTTAAAGACCAGCTAGAATCAGCGTCTATTGAAAAGGGATGTCAGTACAGGGTCAGAATTAGTACACAGCGGCTGAGTTAGACCTGTCAGTGCAGCCACTCCAGTGTTGTGTATTCCTGTGTGTCTCTGTGGGTACCTGTGATTGCTGAATTTCACTGAGCAGAGACAAAGGTTGTGTGTGTGAACTGTCCAGGATGCTCTCTTCTCCCAGGTTCAAAGCTTTTTGCTGCAGGGAGCGATTCAAGGTGCGCAACTCAAACACCACTCCCTGCTCCTGCTCTATCTACAGGCACAAACACACAGACAGATCAAGAGCTTGAAACTAGTCGTGTTAGTGACTTCTGTTAGTGAAGAGCAATATCTCCTGCAGCAGCCATGATTCTGTCTGCGCTCCCCTCAGCTTCATCTCTAAATGTCACCATTCATCTTAAATGCCACTCAGTCATTGATCCTCACCTCCGCTTCTTTCTCTTTCAGTTTCATCTGGACTTCAGACAGTCTGTCCCTCAGTCCGTCTCTCTCCGTTCTGAGTCTTTGGCTGTCTTCCTGGGAGGCTTTCAGCTGTGCCTCCATGTGCGACTGCCGCTCCTGCAAAACTTTGTTCTGTCCAGAAAGGAGGGAAAGATGGATGAACACAAAATACTGTAGAAATTACACAATGAGGTGAAACTGAAAACAAAAAAATATGCCGGAAATTATCCTTCTCCTGAACATTTAAATGAATTTTAGATCAGAGTGCAAATAATTTCTGACCAGACTCTGATGCTTTGAAAGAAGAATAATAAAACCCCAGAGAGATCTGTTAGATCTCTATGACTATATTTTTGCTAATATATTTGTTGGTGCTTGTGACTCAGGTTACTAAGCCTTGACATTTGCTTTAAGCTCATCTTACTTCAGACTTGACTCACAAAAGCCTTAATGTTATGCAAGAATTTAAAGCAAAGCCCTTCAAGACTGCTGGCGGCAAATGTTGCATAGCACACCTTGAATATTTATAGGCATAAATCTTTGGTTTTGTGTACATGAAAACACTCTTAAGACAGCTTTAAAATGAAAATATTCAAAGAACAAAATTTAGAAATCTAAAAGACTTGGAACTGACTTGCAATTTACAAATGATGATGACTGACTTAACTCTGACTTGTCATCAAGGATTTGAGATTTAACTCGGACCTACGCCACAAGTCCTAAAAAGCAGCTCTGCCACTTTTACATTATATTAAAATTTCATGCTATTTGGTCATGTTTAACCACGAATGCATTCAAAACAGACCACTAAATGAGTGATTTGCTTGTGCACAGCATTGAGAAGTGACTAGTAAGAATACCTCTGCTTGTATGCTCCCTAATTGTGTGAAGCTGATATTTCGACTAAAAGACGATTCTTCCATCTCTTCTCTGAGAGAGCGAATCTCAGTCCTCAAGGAGTGCTCCAGTGTCACAGCCTAAATGAGCAGGAGATGAGAAAGATTGTTCATCAATGGGTGACAAAGATAGAACTCCTTAAACCTGCTCGTCTGCATTGTTTCTGCTTGCACGGCGATGATGTAACCAACCTCTGCTAGCTGCTCCACCAGTCGTTGGTTATGGCTGGCTAACTGAGTCATCTGCTCGCTCTCATCTTTTCGCCGGTCACGCCCCTGACTGTGATGTTTCTCCAGCTCAACCCTCAAGGCGGCTAAATCTGCAGTCAGCTCCGCCTCCCTCTGTCCTGATGTCAGTTCATTCATGTCCAGCTTCCTCTGAAGAACATGCTTCTCCTGCTGCAAAGCCTGAGACATTGAACAACACATTAAGTGACTTCAAGACATCACTGACGAGTCTATAAATATCAGATACACAACATGGACAATTTCCTTTCTTCTAAATGTGAAGTCAAATTCCCACCAATGTTACAAATGTTTCCAGGCAGCAGGTTCTACATACTGACTTGTCATAGTAAGAAAGCCCAGCTGTTACTAACAACATGACTGATCTACTCCAGCCCTCCATGACCTACAGTTATAAACTACATTAGTACCTATAACTAGCTGAATGCAGACAAACTCTACATATACCAGCTCCCCAGACTGTAAACTGCATCACTGCAACATTTAAAAAAAAAATATGACATATGACAAACAGCATGTCTTTATCCAACTGATTCCCTAACTTACTTTTCTGGACCAACTTCAACAATTTTCCAAATATATGTTGTAGATAGATGTTTAAGGACAGACAACTTTAATAATAATATTTAGGATTTTTATACATAATGTCGAGCCATACACAAATCTTCTGCTTTTTCAGTGTTTGGAGTCTTTGTGAGAAAGGTGATAGTTAAGGTCACAGTGGCTCCATAGTGGGTCCAGCCCACTCACATACATGAGGGGAGCCAAATATCATGTGCATTATAGTATGGATTGCAATTACAGTTAAAGAGTTCATTCGCAAACACAGATAACTCCATCTTCACAAACCTTCAGAAAACCCACTTTTCCATCGTCTACCTGTGACGATATCAAAAGTTATCTCTATTTTTGTTATGTCGTTTCTACTGAGTCAAATCCACTCAGCTTCAGTTTGATTGATGTTATCTCAAGCAAACAACAACAAAAATAAGTATTCTGAAAATCTACAAAAATGGTGTTATCTGTTTTTGCAAATCAACTCTACAATTTTAACTACTCAGCTATTTGTTTCTTTCTGCTGTGCAGCAAACACTTTCATGTCAATAAACTAGTTTTTAAGATAATTTTTAATATTATCAAATCATTGTATCATTATTGTACCATCAAAGCCTATAAGTGATGGACTTCGCTAAAGATAAAGCACTAATACTTGTAAAGAGTCAAAAAAAAAAAAAAAAAACAAAAAAAGAAAAAAAAACAAAAAAAATTAAAAAAAGTCAGTGCTTGGGTTTCAGTCTTGGTGGTGAGGGCAATATGCACTACACAAAGTCCAAGCTGATTGGAATTCAAATAGGATTCATATTAATGCTTGTCTTCATGTCACATGTCAAAACATTCTTTTGTGGAAAAGGACTATGTTGTTATTTTAACTCTGTGTCAAATACAGATTTATACCTGCCATAAAAGTGGTTTTTGTCACAAATCATATGGTTTTGTTGTCAGCATGTGTTGATGAGCATGCTGTAACTGTAACTTCTATAATCTAAAGTGGAATGAGTTAAACTGTGATTTACTGGTTTTTCCACTTTTACCTCACCTACACTGCAGGCTAGAATCGTTCAAATGACAATTGCTTGTTTATGGTGAAAATGTTGTCCTTTAGTTCCCACCAAACTGTATTACAAGCTGCAAGAAGAAACAGCAGCGTTACTCTTACCTCCATCTCCCTTTCCCTCTGCTCCAGAGAGGCCGCCAGCTCCTCATTCTTCTCCAGCAAAGCCTGGCCGAGCTCTGCAGCGAGTATCAGGTCGGTCTCTAGCTCTCCTCCACTGTCAGTGCTGCCAGGAGAGGATGTGGATGTGGGGAGAGCAAAGGAGAGAGACACTGAGGAGGATGAGGAGAGAGGGAAGAAGGAGTCCTCCAGACTGGGTGAGGAAAGACTGTCCTTCCTGGGGGTGAACATTACTGACAGTAGTAGGCTTCTATAGGAATCAGTTAGAAAGCATCATCCCAGTTCTTGGAATAGAACTACACTCACACAGGTGGCAGGTGGACAGCCATTGATTGTCTTTTTTTTTTTTGGCAAGAATCCTTTTCTGTTTCTCAATGGTCTGGTCCAGAGGGATTTGATGAGTCAGTGTTTTAATTTTGTAATCCAAAAAGGGAGTATGTCTCTTCAAAACTTGTTCTTCGCTGTGGTTTCAGTGCTCCTGATGCTTGCGTCACTTCAATCGTCCCTTCTGTGGGCAATAAAACCATATAATGACTTGGATGGATATCAGACCAGTTGCTTCTTTATTTTTTTGGTAATACAATCTAACATGGCCTATAAGGAGGTCTTTGTCTGACAGGTGCTTTTGTTACTCTGACCGAAATACCAGCTTCGCTATTATCATTGTTCTGCTCCCCTCCCTGAAATTCCAAAGGCATTGTGCTCCACTATTTATCTAAAAAAACAGCAATGTCTTGAGTGTTCCCAAAATAATTTCTAAAGTAATAAGTTTTAGCCAAATAATTAAGAAACAATCACCATCTGCTTAAGTCTTAAATAAGTTCTTGCTCTTTTAAAACCCAAACTAAGGTTTAAAAAGTTATGTCACCAAACAAACTTTTCTCCATAAATTCTGTTTATATAGACTAAATTTCAGTATAGTTGCCCTCTCAGTCTCCCCTGTCAAATCTGACGTCACCTCCACACTTCGTCTCCCTATCGTGAAACCATGCTGTATACTTAAAATGATTTAAAACACAATTCACAAACTCATTCCCACTTTATCATAACTTGTTTTCTGTTACGAGAACAGACACGCTAAGCCATAATCTACCTGACTTTAAAAGAACAAAATTTGAGTCGCTCTTACCTGACAGTTCCCAGCCAACTCACATCAAACACACATTGCCTTCCTGTCTGGTAAGTTGTGTTTGGAAGTGTTTGCGCAAGAGAGGCTCAGCTGGTTTCCTTGGCAGTGGAAACATACAGTATGTAAATACAGTCAGTGGCTCCACCTCTTACTGAGCGCAACAGGTAAAGGGAGCAGACAGAGGGAGGACTACACTGAGAGACAGAGCAGGAAAGATGGGAACAGTAGGGCCGGATAGACGCTGCTCAGACGCCTGGTGGCTGTACAAAGAAGGGGAAAAAACACAGATTAACTCTGAGGAATCTGCTGCTACAAATGTTCAGCACCCTGCTGTTTGAGTAGGGGGTGACACAGGGTGAGAGATGGAAAGAGTTCAGCACACAAACAGGGGTCTTGTCTAAATTGACCCTCCTCCTCCTCCTCTTCCATCCTGTTTACCTGCTTGAAGGGCTTGAAAGGAGCTCTGTGTGTGTTCATTTATGACGAAGGGGGCAGGGAGAGTAGAAAAAGGGGGACGGCTGCCTCTTCACCTCCTTCTCAGAGTCGACAAAAAGGGAATCAAAAGCTACGCAGGACCTTCACCAAGCATTAAAAAAAGACTTTTGCATCACATACAGACATGGCTTGTAAACTCTGGTTTGTACTGTCAGTGTGGCTTTTGTTGGCACCTTCAGAAGCTGGAAGGCAGATGCCTAAACTCTCGGACAAGAAACTCTGCGCTGACTCTGAATGCAGCCGTAAGTATGAACAACTTGTTCTGTCCTGATGGTGTCTGCTCTGCTTAGAAGATAATATGTTCTGATCATATGCAACTGTAGTTGAAATGACAGCATACAAATATAACAAATACTACAAACTGCAAAACTCCTCCATATGATGTCAAACTCAAATCATCCTCCTCCTGCACAGATCCCATCCTGATAGCTCAAGCACTGCAGGACTACTACCCTGGAGACTGCAGGTTCATCCCCATCAGACAGGGGCAGCTCGTCTATGTCTATGCAATGCTAAAAGACAGAGGGAACCTCTTCTGGGCTGGCAGCGTGAGTACAAATAACATATTTATTAGCTGATAAAGACTGCTTTGACGTGAGGTCACGGACATATCTAGCAACAACAAGACATGCTGCCAACAACTGTTATCTTTATCATCTGTTTGCAGGTACAAGACTCCTACTATGGACAGCAGGAAGCTCGTATTGGCCACTTCCCCAGCAGTGTAGTGGAGGAGACTCACGCTCTCATGCCAGCCAGCACTGAAGTCAAAACTACTGTAGGTGACCACACACACACATCCACATGTATGCATTATGTAATGCCTTCTCTCTAATTCAACCTCTCTTCTTCTTTTTCCAGAAATGGGACTTCTACTGTTACTGATGTTGCCTTTACAAAGACAGAGTACAGCTTACTTGCAAGACAATCTTTGTTGATATCATATGAAATTGATATGATGACAGTATACATTATATGCACATGCATGCACCTGATATTCTGCACTTTAGAGATGTCAACAATGACTCACGCAGCATTAAACAATTGTAGAATGTATTCAGATGTAACAGTCAGAAGGCAGAATTGTTGCTGCTTAATGCTCTGTATGTCATTCCTGTCGATTCTGATGATTGACAGTCGACATTCTCTGTAATACTTCTCACAGCTATTATATGATATTAAATAATACATTTAAAAAGAATGAAATATGTTTGCTGTCTATCTTTTTTTCAAACACAGCTTCTTTTTCAAATTATACTACAGGGGAACATTGCAGTAGTGTCCAATGCTATGTGCAGTTAATCATTTCATTTTGTATATTTTAAGAAGTATTAAAGAATGCATTTTTGCTCTTTTGTTCAAAGCAGCTAATCAGCTTCTCTCCAGATGCACTGTACATTATAACAAGGACTGTCATGATATTATCTATTGTATCCCAATATTGATAGAAAACTTGTTTTTGTGTGCTTTGTCTCTTTTTTGGCAAACAAATTTCACTGGAAACACAAGCGTAAGGAGGGGGAGAGATATAACCATAACTGTACTGCATGTTGTTTCCATGTTGAAGTGTCAATCAGATTAGTGTTAGATTATTGACAATATTATTAACATGAGTTTTTTTTTTCTTTCTTTTACATATCACTGGTATATCATGACAAATAATGTGAAATTCTTCTGAGAATAGCAACACTGCAGACAAAAAAGAAACCCACACACCCATGAATTGGAGATGAAACATTTATTCTATTTGTTGTTTCTTGGGGTAATATTCCAGAGGCTTGTTGTCAATATAACAGAGATGTAACTCCTGCATCTACAGGTACAAATGCACCTACTCACATACATTTACACACTCTGTCCTTAGCAGCTCAGAGCTCCCCAGTGGAAAAGGAGCCCAGTGATAAAAAGCTGTCTGTCTCCTCGTCCACTACTTTCCCTCCCGCCTGTTCGCTCGCTGTCTTCCTCTCAACGCACCTGGTCCCAAGTCCTTTGGTGGCTTTTTCAAAATGATTTATTTTTTTTTTGGTAAACAAACTAAAAATGACTGCATCTGCCTCCAGAGAACCTCCTGCTCACACATACAGAAACCAGCACTATTCTCACAGAAAAAAAACAACAGTTGGCATCTAACTCACTCACTCGGTACAGTTTTGTTTAACAATTTTAGTATGTTTAAATCTTCAGATTCCAATTCACTTGAACCGACTGCAAGCTAGTGATTCAGTTAACAAACGCTTACAGCTTTGTCAGGAAATGCAGGGCCAGCACAGATGCTGTTTAACGTTCAAATGCCTGATCAAGGGAAAGGAAATATCAAAAAATGACTGCATGTGTTAAGCAGAAAGAAGGAATTTAAAGGATTATTTTGTCTTGTGACAGAGAAATCACCTGTCAGGTTCTCAATATTCTGCATCTCAAGTGTCCACAAAGAAGTCATGTACGCTGTTAAACAGACTCACTTACATGGCCTCAAGATTTTCAACATTAAAGCACCCCTGTCTTGCAGAGACATTAGAATAAAAATGAGTTAGGATACTGGTTTATTAGAAGGCACTTGCACTTCAAAGACATCCAGACATGTATGCCTGACTTGTATGTGCACTGAACTGCCAACAGAACAGTAACAGGTTAAATATAAAAACAGGCAGCACTTAGGGTTAGTTGCGAAACTGTGTCTGGGCGTTAGACTCTGCCCTACGTTTTATTTTTTCTGTGTTCCATCTTCACAGGTAATAGGAATATTGCGCTCTGGGCCAGGAGATGGCCGAGGAGCCGTGATTGTCAGCACACCATCAGATGACAGACTGGAGGTGACCTCGGCCACTGTCACACCAGAAGGAAGCCTGTACTTCCTCAGAAACTCTCTTGTCACATAGCCATGATCGTCCTGCAAACAAAATGGTTTGTAAAGTATCAGTAAAGTGTCACCAAATCAATTTTGCTTTACTATTTCTGCACCTCTCCAATGTCTTTCTAACCTGTCTTTCTTCGTGTTTGGCGTGTATTGTGATGAACTCGTCGCTAACATTGACAGACAGCTCTTCGGGGGAGAAATGCTTCACGTCCAGATAAATGACGTAGCGATCCTTTTCTGTGCGCATCTATGCAGACAGTAGAGCTGTTAGGAGCAGCACTCAGAAATGCGTCAGCTGGCCATAAAGCATGCACAATAGCTTGTTTTTAATCATCTCAGTGCAAAATTATACAAACACATGAGATGTCAGCCAAAGATGCTAATATTGTTGGCTTAGTAATTTGAAATCATATATACACATCTCACAAATGAAAGATCTGTGCTCCAATGGCCTGTCACAAGACTGTGGAAACTACTACAAGCACTCACTTTCATACTGCCGAAGTAGTATTAGAAGTTATGTTCGGTTGCAGACAACATGTTAGTGTTTCACTCAATTAGATTATCTTAGGCACACAGGAGAATTGTACTTTACCTCACTGTGTCCATTGTCAGGCCAGTTGAACCAGCGCATGAACGAAGGACGCATCCAGGGGAAGGACCAGGAGAAGGGCCACATCAGGGGCCAATCGGTGAGAGGTTCTGTCATGGAGAAGTCAGAGAGTCGATGTGGGAAGGCCCGGCGATACCAGGGGTACTGGATGGGGATATCCATGGTGAGATTCCAGGAGAGATGAAAAAATGATGGTGGTGAGGGAAGCTGACTCTTGGTCTGACTTGGTGTGAGATTGGTGCTGTTGTGCTCCCCTGCACTGCATTTATAGGCCTTTCCCTCCCATCCCACCAATGCTCTGCCTTCCTGACCTCCCCTCCTCCCCTCCGTAACCTCCCATGCACACTTGCACAGGGTCTCTGCCAACAGGCTGATCTTTCTGGAACAATGATGTCAACTGTTTATCCCTCCATCGCTCTCATTGTTTCATCTGTCTGACCGCGACCGGTCGTCTCTCTCTCTCCATAACTCTGTGTCTCTCGCTGTCCTCCCGGTCATGAGGTGACACTGGCTAGGAATACTGCTGATGCCCCCATGCTCATTCCCCAGGAAATGCCCCCGTCTGGCTAGTGAGTGATTTTGTGAGTGTTTGTTTGAGGAATAGCTGCCAGAGCATTAGGCTGCTGTGCTCTGAGTGCCAGAAGCTTTGGGTTTGTGTGTGGAGTGGATGTGTGCTTGAATGGGAACTGATGAGTTTGTATGGGACAGTATTAGGTGACACTCCATGTGTGTATCATTTTGCTATGAGCTCAGATGTTAAATATGAAGTCCTTGCCAGCGGTTGTGCCAACCTTTTTTTTTTTTGATTATTTCAGTCTCTGCTTCATCCTCCCAGCCATGTTGTCTCTGAAGCAGGAGAACTCCACACATGCAAGCACAGAGATTCTACAGAACCTTTAAAACTATCAGGCCATCAACTACTATTTTAGTGCTGTCCACTCTTTTCTCAATCAGCCAAGACCTGGCATTGTGCCAGACTAATGGCGCCAAGAACCACCCAATGAAAGCTGAAGGTTTTATCATCAATAAATTGTGTGCTGCATAATCGTCCAATATAAATGTGAGGTTAATGGGCTGTCGTATGGACAGACCAATATGAGTATGATGACAAAGCAATAAAGACACTGCAGGGTTCAGAGCCAAGCTTTAGAGTGAGAGTGCGACAACATAGCAGGAAATAGTAAAACCCCTGATTATAATGAACCAAGCAAGAGTAATATTTGATTGAAAATAGCAGATTTTTTTCATTTGAAAGAGCAAGAATTTGTTATTTCTTCTTTAAAAATTATGTATAGTGAACAAAAATAGAACATGAAACTCTATGCATTCTCTGTAAAACAGGGAACTGAGTATTTTTCTGTTGCAACACATCCCATCTTTACAACAGAATGGCTGTCATGAAACAACCAAGTATGCACTGTATTGCAAATGGTAGTGGACAGATACAGAGTGGGGTCATGGACCACAGATCACAGATCAGTATCCAGCTTGTACGCCCTTTGCATCATGTACATCTGTCACATACAGAGTTAATGAGGTTTCTGATGCTGCTTGTGGAATGTTGTCCCACTATTCCTGAAGAGCTTGGCCAAGTTGGCGTCCATCCAGAGCTGTCTGGAACGATTTCTTAGATTGCAAATGGGAAAGTTGTGGACATTCAAGTACCTGGCTACAACTCTAACTCTCATGCCAGCCAGCATCTAGCAGCCAACAGCCAGTTCTCGCCTTCCTCTTGTCATCTGTGTCATCATTTGAATAAAGCTGCGTTTTAAGGTGGCCTTTAATAGCCATTAGTCAAAGGAGTTTCTGTGTACTGGTCACACTATGTGATCATTGTGCTTGTAAGCCACACCTGAGAAACCTCTCTCACTAGAACAGTAGAAATTAAAAGTTGTCACACTGGGAGAGTTAAAAGCTCTAATCAAAAGATGCGCAACTGAAGAGTGCAATTGAAGAGTTGATTTGCAAAAACAGATAACTCCATTCTTGTAGATTTTCAGAAAACTCATTTTTTTGTTGTTTGCTTGAGATAATATCAATCAAACTGAAGCTGAGTGGATTTGACTCAGTAGAAATGACATGACAAAAATAGAGATAACTTCTGATATTGTCTCAGGTAGATGATGGAAAAGTGGGTTTTCTGAAGGTTTGTGAAGATGGAGTTATCTGTTTTTGCAAATCAACTCTTCAATTGCAACTCCTAAACTGGATTTTATTGTGTGCATCTAAAGCCTCCTGTTTTTCAAATGCATTTTGCTTTTGTCTAGTGTTACTGGTGTCATGTTTGATTTTATAATATTTATAGCCTTATAATGGTGTGCCTTCTTGGCCTAGAAAAAGAGATTTTGATCTTAAGGGACTTCCTGGTTGAATAAAATAAAATAAAATAAAAACAATAATATTAAAAAAAACATTTGCATGCTGCTTTTATATGTGTGTTCAGTGTCAGCTTTGTTTATTTTAGACATGATAACACTTCAGCCTTACATTTGATTTTGCAAACACTCTGTCAAATGGGAACTATGGGTCAGAAAAGTTGTTAAATGTTCGAGTGTGAGGATGGATGTGCTTCTGATTCGTGTTACTGAGTGTTCCTGTATGCGCTGCTGAATAACCTTGAGCTGATTGATTTTCCTTCCTACAATGTGCAGAGGAATAAAGTGCAGCGCGTGTTGTCTGTAGGGTCGTTGCCATGGTGACCCGAGCTGCCCCAGCAGCCCTGAGCAGGTACCCTTGTTGGAAACAGCTAACAGAAATGCGGTAGTTGGTTTGAGTTTATGGCCACAGAAATGGACTTACCAGCTTCATATTACGGGAAACTTGATAAAAGAAACCCAGTTATTTTAGCTTTCAAACGAGACATTAACGCGTTTGTAGCACTGATGAGACAAGTAGCTTCTTCCACCGAGCAGGACAGCGGCTCTTATGCTAAAGGGTAAGACAGTCAAAGTTATGGTAACGATAGCTTAGCTTAATGCAGCGTGTTTCCCAATTGTTCTATTTCATGTTACGTCAAAAAAAAATTCGTATATTGAGCTATTAATTATCAGTGTGTCTACGTTTTGGACCATTAACAGTAGCAAACAGGTAATACAAGTCTCTACTTTTGACTCCAGGTACTTTACTAACTAAAATATTGGTGTAGGCCTCAATTTCGACACAGTAAGGTTAACTAAAGAAGTACTGAGATTTCGCATTTCCATCACAGAAGGTAATGAGACAACTTTGTTTGCAAGTGAAACAGTTACAGTCCAGTATGCAAGCAGACTTGCTAAATATTATTTTCTAAGTTAGTGATACAGTGCCATATACCAACTTTGAAACTTATTTCATATTACATGTATAGCTGTGACTTTTATGTGTGTTTTTATTTTTGGCAGACTGCTGATAAAATTCATTTAAAAGTGACCCCCTTTTTAATATGATTCTCATTTTAAAGGATTAAAGTCCTTGTGGAGATATGGAAGAAGTACAAGCACCGGCTGCCGTCAAAGTTATACCAGGAGCATATGTTGCAGATTGCAGATTTGCTTTTTGAAGTAAAGGTACGTGACCCTAGATAATGTCTTGCTAATATTTCGATTCCAAAAGCTGCTGCAGATGGCTTTTTTCTAACTACACTTCATCAAATATTAAGTCAATCACTACTTAATTTTATTAGTCAGAGTATTCAGAGTAGTGGAAGGAGCCCAGCAGGGGATTAACTGGTTTATTCTGTATTAACAGCCTTAATTTTTTTTTGCTACTCCTTTCCTCTTTGCTGTTCTTTTTACCTGCAAAACTATTTGCAGCAGGTAGCCAAGGTGTCTTGCACAACACACACTCACAATTGCCATTTAATCTTTCTTCTCTCCATTGTTTGTAGTTGTACCAGCTGGCTCTGTGGCAGGGCTACAGTCTCCACCTGTTGGAGTTCAGCGCAGTGAAAATAACTGAAATCACAGATGTGGACCACTTAATGGCATGTTTTTTCCCTGAAGGTGTTGATACAGACCAACATACCTTCACCATGAAGGTAGACTGTGCAATTTGAGCTTGTGTACTGTGCGTCTTTGTGTGCAAAATGTTATGGTATGACTGGTTGTAGGCTATGATTGTTGCGCTTTGTTGTTTCATGTTACAAAGAAGTCTTGACGTATGGAAAAAGGTCATATTTTATGGTGGTTGTACCAGAGCCTTGTGTTTGTGTCTGTCCGCAGATTCGTGCAATGCACGGCTGTGCCCTGTGTCTATTTGAGCAGGAAAAAAAGCACAACATCCTCAGCCAGAAGGGACTTTGCAAATTGCTGCGGGTGCTGAACTTCATTAGGATCATAATGAAGGCTTTTCAGCGACATGAACACCTCCACTGGCAAATATACAATGGTATAGTAGCACAATTTATATAATTTAAAAAGAGCTTAGAAGAGCTTTGCTTTTCCTTTGACTTTGAGTTAGTAGTGCGAGATTATTTATCCATTGTTTAAAATGAAGTGAAACATTATAAGATTCTGCTGTAGAACTAGCCTCCTTACTGTATGTCGTTCTCTTTATCCTTCTCATCTTATCCAGGTGCATTACACATTTACACCATCTGCCGTTTCTTGATGACCAAGAAGTACAGTGCACAGGTATTTTTAGATAAATGTAACATAAATACAGTGTTTCTTGATTGAACTGTTATATATAGATGCCAATTCATCTTGCCAAAAGCCTTTTCCAAAAAAAAAAAAGTATTTTTATCCATATTTTTATACTCTCAAAAAGGAAAGGCAAAATGAAAGAGGTGAAACACTTTCAAACGGTCAAAAGACTTTCTTTTGATGATAGAGATCTACAACAACATAAATATTTAAACCACCTAATGCTGATTGTGCTAATTGTGACTGCAAAAGTACGTGTTTAAAACGTGATTTTTCTTTGATTCACTCTCTTCAGATTGGTTAACATGCGACTCTTCACTGAGTGGTATTCTTGCATAATAAATTAAAGGTGTGAGTTATAATGTGTTTATATAATAAGCATCTGTGTCACTTTTTTGATGCCTTTTGCCACATTTTATGATCCTATTCAGGCACTGGAGTACCTTCTCTGGGCAAGCATCAGTTTAGAATTGTCCATCCCTCTGATGACAGCTAAGTATCTGCCGTTTATCGTCACACTCTACTGTGCCGTGTGCCACTGTTACTATGACAACCAGGCTGAGGTGCAAGCAGAGGTGAAAGACGTCTGGTGCATCTAGACACCTACAAACACACAATCATTGACACATGATATTGGCAGTCTGATATAACAAGTTATAAATACTAACTGTCACCTGTTTTTTGATCTGTCTGCAGTTTTTTTGTTGGCCAATCTGCTGTTAATTTACTGTAAAGAAGGGCTTTCTATAAATGTATGGTTTGATATTTTTTTGTCTGTTGTACTAAGATATTACTGTTCCAAACACAGGCTAAAAAAATCTTTCTCATGCTTGGCTATGGTAAAACAAAACACAGATGGCATATTTATTGTACATAGGAATTTATGGACATTAAAAAAAATGAATTAATCTAATGAAATCACACAGAAAGGTTCTTAGATTGAGAATGAATTATTCTGAAAGTGTGACTCCCCCTTTGTGGGTTTGCTTGTGTGTCCTCAAATGCTTTCAGAAATTTGCCAGAAGAGCCCTTGGAAAAATCAATGAGTTAGCAAAGCTGGAGTTGCAGAGTCAAGTTCCTGCCACCAGAGAGACTCAGAGAGCTTACAAAGAAGCCTCTATCAAGGCAAGAGACTCCAGTCATTGAAATATGCTCTTAATATGGTCACTGTAATTAGATGTTGCAGAGTTAAGATAACCTCTTATCGCTACTGTGTTTCACATTTATTTCATGCAAATATGAAGTCATGACAGCCTACATACTGAATCAGTTAAAGGTCATTTGAAGTCCAGTCCACACTGTCCAAACATGAGAGGTCATGTTTCTTTTTTTCTCAGTTACTTTGCGTTACAAAGTTTCTCAGTGTAAATATTTCTATGTATAAGATTGTAGCCGTTTCATGAATTGAATGGTCACCGCTGTTTATATGCACACAGGCAAGATGAATTACTTTTCTTGTGACCTTTCCTAGACTTTACAGTGTTAATGTTTTGCCTTTACATTGTTGATGGTGACTCAGACCTTTTTTTTTCTCCAGCTGGCTGCTATGATATTCAAGCAAGCAGTGTTCAATGGCAGAAAGAAACCCAAAGCCAGATTCAGAATGGAAATAAAAAACACCCCAAGGGACATACCCAATGTAATATTTTCAACAATATTCTCATGTTTGGTGTTATAGCTCATCTTTAAGTGTACTGTCAATTTAAGAGGATGCTCAATATAGAAGACAAACATTGGTTACTCCAGTTAACTCATTTTATATTTCCTTTAATTGATAAAGAGTTGTACTCTCGTTGGATTTTGGATCAATTACATTTTTACAATTTCTGTTTATTCTTGCACCTGATATTTTCCACCTGTGACATCTTATTGCAGATGCAGAGGTCTCTGAAAGAAATCTTTGTTTTGATTATTTAAGCATAAATCTGTTTGCTTAGATAAATGTTTTTGGTGATTTAATGTTGGTCTTGTGAGATTACCTGAAATTGTATTCCTGTCTGTTTTTCCTTTAGGCGCCATTGCCTTGTACTCCAACAGAGCGCTTACTTCTAGACCTGTTTGACAGCAGGGCAGGACAGTTTTTAGGTATTTTGGAGGCACTTTGGGACAGCACCACACGGCCACTACAGATGAGGATGCCAGATGACCCAGAAAAGCAGGAGGTGTTCTCGGAACTCCTGTCTGCTGGCATCAGTATATTATCTGGTTAGTAAAACAAACCCATAACAGAAAATGCACTGCAGTGATTATAGTAAGAAGACAAATTAAGAGGAAATCTACAGGTGCTGCAAATGTTTTGTAATGCTTGAAATGTAGCTGAGTTTTTAAGGTGAGGAATTCTGAGAGTAACATGATTGTATGTTCATGTGAAGGATTGACAAGTACTGGTGAGAAAAGGTGTGATGATCCCCAATGCCTGTCTCCTGTTGTACTGACACCAACATCAACTCTACTCTCTTTAGCTATTATGGGTAAGTCACTGTTTCTTTTTTTTTTTTCATATTGCATTAGTCACGTACAGCTGTTTATCCTGTCTTGCAATGTGTTTGTTTTGTGAAGGGGTTTAGAAATCAGTGTGAAGCAATGCGATGTGTTGTGTTACTAGGAGAAAATAAAGTACCCATCATGTCGGCTGTGAGGTTCATCAAGCTGTCGTTTCAATACAAACAGCGAGACGTGTTCACTGAATTTGCCAGAGAAATGCAGCAGGTTTTGTCAGTGAGTAGCACACAAGCAATTGTAATTCTCATTACTCAGAAAAGTGAAATACGTTCAGTTAGTGTTTCACTTTTGCTCTGGTGTTTCCAGTTGGAGAGTGTTCTGCGTTTCTGAATGATATTAAAATTGATTTTCAATGTCTTTTTCTTTGTCAGGGTGTGGAAGGGCAGTCCTTCAGGAAGGCAGAGCGAGAACTTGCCTTACTTGACAGTTTCAACGTTCTGCTGTCTTCCCAGAGGAGCCGACCAAGACAGGACAACATCAAACATGGTAACAAAGTAAAACTGTGCCACATATGGACTGATTTAGATCTTTAGGCCTCCAAACTTTGCTGTGGATAAATGGATTACTGAAAAGCAGGTTTCGTTGATTAAGGGAGAGAATCTTGTTGGCTATGTATTGCTAGTATCAAAACAGATTTGTAGCAATTGCCTCAAAGAGAAAATGTCAGAAAATAAATACATTAATAGCACCACTGGTTTTTATTTGATTGTTTTTCTAAGGTTTTGTCACATTTGTGAGTATATTAACAGAGTTGGTTATTGCTGAATATAAGCTTCTATTCTTCTCTCATGTTTTTGTCTTATTATACACATAGCATTTAGAAGTTGGTAATCAGGCACTTAACAGTTGGTTGTAGTGAGTTGAATGCTTCACAAAGTATTTAATTACAGCAATACCTGCATTATAATGTTTCCACAGACAGACCAAAGTCCTCATTCTTCAAGAGTGATGAGCTCACCAGTCTGGTAGACGTCTTGCACAAGTCTGTCTGTGGATCTGCTCTGGTAAGTTTCTATGTTGTGTGTGTGTGTGTTTGTGTTGTAATTGAAGGATTAGTGATTAGGGATGCTTATTTATATATTGTACATACTGCGTGTGTTTTATCTGTTTAGGATGTGCAGCCAGATGGGGACCTGGTTTTGGATATTGTGCTATTTGTGTGGAGTAGGATGAAGGTGGTGAGGCAGAAGAATCAGCTGCAAACCTCAAAGTTTGCACACTACCGACAGAAGGTAGATGATAATTACATATCATGTATGTATAAAGGTAAACAATGCTGCTGGTTAGGTTTATTATTATCAAATGTAAGGCTGTTACTTATATCATCTACACTATGCATTTGCAATTTTTAGAATGTATTGTAACATTGATTTTAATAAAATAGAAATGAATTTTCACTCTTCTGTTCATTTGTATTTGTTACTATTTGTGAACATGCAGTGGGTGTGGTGCTTGTCGAAGCTGTGTGAGGTGGCCTTTGCTTGTGACCTGGCAACAGTTGACTGTATATTGACTGCAGAGATGATTCACACACTGGGGATGCTGCTAGAGAGTACAGATGAACATTTAAATCACACACAGTGGCAAGGTGAGGAATTATTTTCTGCCAGTTACCTTCTTTCAGTGTGTGGGACAACTGAAATTCTTCAGTTTTGTACTTCTTGATTGTGAACAATCACAAACATGCACACAATATGTTTTCCATACCACACCTACCGATGACACTAGTCTCATGTCTTGTGTTTAGCAGGTCAAATAGACCGTTTTGATGCAAAGCTAAGCTCTTTCTCTCTTCCTGAGGTATGTAAATGAATTAACTATCTATACATGGTCGTAAATGATAATTCTGTATATTACATTGTGAAGTATAAATGTGATGAAAGAAGCAACTACAACATGTTTGGGTTTTTTTTGTCTGGTTTCAGAGTTCAAGTACAGAGTTGCTTCAGAAGGTGTGTGAGGTGGTGAGGAAGGGTCTTGGAGCTTTGGCAAGGGGTGCAGCTACACTACTGCCCCAAGACTGCTCAGCAGTCACTGATTCTGCCTTCATGCAGGTAAGTAGTTAACCTGTCCAACATTCATGTAGAAGACCCTAAAAGTTCAGTCTATTATTCAATCATTTCATCTCAGGACTGAATTGTCAGAGTGGATCTTATCAAAAACATAACTGGATTTCCTCTTGTTCTGACAGAAATGTAGTCTCCTCAATGCACCAGCTCCTTTCATATCTCCAACATCACCAGAAGAAGAAAATGAAGAAGATGAAATAAGTGTGAAGGAAAAAGAAGAAATGGAAGCTAAGACAGAATCAGATTTTGAAGGCAGTCAGCAGACTCAGTCCACTCGCACGTTTCTGCTTGCCAGAGACCTTCATTTAGAGTTAGACATCATCCACCACAGGGCTTCTCTCAAGTTACTGATGCTAAATGCAGGTTAGACTCACCGATACACTGACAGATCCACTCATGAATTATTTTTGAGAAATGATTCTTCTGTGGCTTTTATATACAATTTTAAAAATCAATTTTATATCAGTAGAGATGGTGAAATTTCCCAAGCCTCCACTTGCTGTTTTGTAAACAGAAGTTTAAATATTTGACAATAAATAAATGGTCGAAAAGAGCATTGGTTTAAAAATGATATGTCTGCCCATAAGTTATGCTTAATTGTGGACACAAACAGTGGTTCTCAATATGGTGGTTTGTCCTGAGACTTTCTGTGTTGTGGGTAGTTACCGAGTCTGAACTGCTGAATCGGATCAAGAAGAACAAGGTGTCCAAAGCTCTATTCCTGATCCAGAAGGCCTTGCTGGTGTTCAGTAACATGGAGCCAAATAGCAGCAGCAAAACCGAAAGTCTACTAAAGGTGACACAAGCATTCACATTTCTTAGATACACTTAGACTTAGCATGTAATGAAAAATAAATAATGACACTATGTAAAATAGCAATATCTGCAAATGCATGTGTTGTGTATTTGTTTGAAAACAGACACGAAATATGCTTTATTATAATTAAGATTATTGTTTTACAAATACTGTATAACATATCTACATTAAGCTGGTGTCCTGGTTAGAACACTTAACTTAAAACTTATAGCTACAACTAATATTTATTTTCTGGTCTCCAAAACACCAGAAATTGGACACCGAATGCCCATTACAGGATTCTAAATGACAAACTGGGGTCATTAAATGCCTTGTTTTGTTCAAAACCCCCAAATATTTTACTAACTAATGTAAAATTGCATAATCACTCAAATTGATTAATCACTTATCATAGTATTTGCTGGAATTTAGCAAGAATAAATACTGTCTTATTGCTGGAGGTATCTCTTGGGGAATGTAGCCACATTCTAACATTTACTGTTGACTGAAGCGATCTTTTAGGAAATTTCATGAATATTTAACTGGTTCGTCACCGTGTTCTTGATAGGAGGCTTCCACCTTAATAGAAAAAGCAGGGATGGAGGAGAGAAGAGTGTATATGTCCACCATTCCCAGGACTCCAGCTAAAAGTAAAGACAAAGTAATGAAGGTGGAGAAAAATCCTCCCCCTCCTCCGATCCTACTCTCTCGCACTGACCACTCCTTCACCTTTGTCCCAGCGCCTTATAACTTGGAGGAACAAGTGAGATTTGCTTTTACTTATTCCATTAACTTGCTAATCTAAGCATGAACAAATAATTCACTCAAGCTCAACACTTTTCACCTTTCTCTTTTCACTTTTTTTCTAGGTGTGCTGGTACCAGCTTTGCGGTCGAGTAGCTGAGGGCTGGAACTTGAAAGTCCGCCTAGGAGACTTCAGCCTGCCAGGAACTGGACATATGGTACAGTGTTTTTCTTTCACAGAAGAGCATCAGGTCTAGTGAAGCACATTTTTGCGACCATTATTTGTCTCAGTGTATATGATTTAAGGGTGACTTTATTTCTAGGTACCAGCAGTATATGGAGAGTGTGTGCTGAGGGTGGAAGGGCTGGAGCCCAACCAGAAGTATGTGTTTGCTGTTGCAGCCTACAACAGTGAGGGCGAGCTACTGGGCAGTACTATAGGGGGGACAACATTACCACTGCTGGCATCCCTGCCCGTACCTCTCCTCTCTGCATGGGCTCACTTGGCTCAGGTACACATCATACTAGTCCAAACTCGTACCAGAGAAAAGACAGCATGATTCAAGCAGCTTTCTTCACTTCTTCCTCAGGTGGCATTTCAAACAGAGCAATATGCCATTGCAAAGAGAGCCTGCAGTGAACTGTGGAGCCACTATACTTACCCCGACTGTGGGTCACAGACCACACATGATAGACTTGCTAGCACAGGGTAAGGAGGCAAATGCATACACTTCACACAAGTCAAGCCATTGAATTTGTTTTTTATTTGCATTTACTTATCTCCTTCTACTCTGTCCACATTCATCATGCTGAAGGCTGCGTGCACAAGCCCTGCATTGCTCCTCTCCTCACCTATGTCAGTTGTTCCTCACTTCCATCTTCATTGAGACAGAGATCAACATACACCAGGGATCGCTCTATTGTGACTCACTGAGTGACAATGGACCATTCATCTGGGAACAGGTAAAGAAATGACTGGGACAGGGAAGTCTGTAAGTACAGTAAGTAAGCACTTGTGCTGATGTGAACAGAAATTATATCACAAATAAATGAGTTCATGTCTATCTGCAGGAAGCCAGACTGGCAGAATGCGAGCGCATGCTGGTGGCCGTGGACTTGGCGATGTGTTTGAATGATGGTAGTGGTGCTGTGCAAGCTGTAGTTAGTTGCTATGGCCTCTTGGCACCCCTGATCTTCCATCAGATCACTTGTGACCCTGTGGTACAAGTATGTAGAACTGAATCTGTGCAAGTCTTAACATTCTAACATAATACACACTGTAGATCATTCCTAACTATGTGTTTCTGTTCTAATGTTCAGGTACTACAAAAATGCCTAATCGTTTTGGAGGAGAATTCAGGTCTTCTCAAACAAAAATGGGCCGGAAACACTGCGGAGTCATTTATTTACATGATAGCTTGCATCACCTACTATCTGTTGAAGGTGTGTATGTGTTTGTGTTTATATACAGTTTATACTGTTTCGGTGTGTGCTAATTCTTTATTATTTTTGTAGTAACAAAAAATCGCTTCTGCAGAGCATAAGATTTTGTTGAAGCATTACATTTAAAAACAGCTGCAATTGTCCACTGAATGATACAGGTCTTATATTTACCAGCTTATTTTGAGGAATCTTCCCTGATAATTACCTAAAAAGTAGCTGGTATTTACCTATTAATAACTAAGATATTAATTAAACAAAACACCTGTGTGATTTGGGACTAAAGACAAGGGATGTGGAGGAAGTTATTTGATGTCCCCTTGTTGTATTCAAGTTGATAGGAAATAAATGAAAAATAGTTTTCAGTGTCAATTTATGTGATCAAGACTTAATAAAAAATTGTAATTTTATTTGCTTAGGATTGCCCCATATTGACCTGGTCATCTTTAAATAATTTAATTGACATTGTGTTGTATATTGTTTGAACTGCATGTTCACCTGTAGTTTCATTGGACTTAATGCTGAATACCAGCTAATGTTTAGTAAGTTTTGAGGAAAGTTTCCTTGAAATTTGCTGGAGAATACCGGGCCTATATATACATAATTCAAAGACATGACATTCACCCTATAATACACCACAGAGCCCACAGCAGAAATTACTTCAGTACATTTTACTACCACGTTACATAGAACTTATCACAGTTGGTACGCATTTATGCACCTTATTTTTGTATTTATTTATTATTTTGTGCTCACAGAAGTCCTATGCAAAATCATTTGTGACTATTTCATTTCTCATGACAGACTTTACGTGTGCTCGGGAAGCATCAGATGGCTGATGTGTTCATGGACTTGGGTCACAAGCTGCTCCAGGAGGTCTGTGACGCCCAGCAGCAAATAAGTAGACTTGCCAACCAAACTGCGGGTTTACGAAACAGTGGAAAAGTGTGTATTTATTTCATGATTCCATGATCACTCTTATTTTTTACACTTTTCTAATTTTGTAAACTGTGTGTATGTGTGTGTGTGTGTGTGTGTGTGTGTGTGTGTCTCGTCTAAGACAATAAGTCATGCTGCAGTGAAGGGTGAAATGAAGATTAATCTTCAGTTAAAGGCACTGCAAAGGAAAAACAAGAAAGGAGTCATAGCGGAAGTACCTCTCACCACAGACAATGGTAATACACAGACACACACTGGTCGCATTACTTTTTTTTTTTTTTTTTTTTTAATTCAGGCATCTTAAGAATTAAGGCTTGTATATAGCAAAAAATTTAATTTTTTTTTTGTAAAAAAAACTTTCATTTCAGTGCTTTTGGCAACACAAGAAGCCAGTGCATTCTCCAAATGACATAATGCTCATCCAGTCAAAGAATAGTTTTTAGAAATATGTTGCATGTATCTGATCTTTTTTAGTCTGGTCTGTAATAAAACATAGTGAAGTTATTTGCCAAAACAACCATAGACATGTAGCACATCTCTCTTTATAATGCTAAAATAATTGAGTGCATTCAGTTTGAGTCCTGAGATGAATATTTTCTGTGAACAATGAAATAACTACTTAAAGCATAAAAAATATATTGCAGTACACATCAGTTCAATGAGTGTTTTTTTCTAAGCTTCATACTGAATACAGCTGTCTTTATTTACAGAGATTCCATCGCCATTGACTGGCTGCAAGGATCCCACCATACTGTATGATCTGATCTTCAGCAGCACATTAACAGATGCTTATCAAGAAGGTAAGCAACATACCCTCGTGTGCTTCTTTTAATGAATGATTGGTCTTGTTTATTAACACCTTTGTTTTTGTGTGTTCTTTTCAGTGATTAAGCTCAGGAACATGGAGTATTTTACTGAATTTGCAGCACTACTACTCCAAAGAACCACGGAAGAAGGCCACGTCGACCTTGTGTTGAACTGGGGACAAACTATGTTTGAATTACTTTCCAGGTATCCCTTAATTATACCCCTTTTAATGATTTGAAAAAAAGAAATGACTACATTTGGGATTTAAATTTTTATTTCTTGATTATTGTGTTTCATTGTTGATCATTATTGTTTCATACCAAAATTCATACTGCTATAATCAAAATGTTACACAAGTCACTATCTGCCTCGTTATTGTAGAAAGTAGTCGTTTTCTCCTCACCTTTAAGACTGCATGTGAATGTTCCTGTTTGTAAGGCATGACAAGGCGATGCGATCAACAAAATATGTGGAAGAAAACAGGCAGAGTAAAACAAAAAGTAATATTCAGGCTTCGAAGAAAAATGAAACACCGCAGGTAAACAAAAATAAATGTACGCATACATGTAGGTACATAATGGCTTAGTTTATCTTAAACATTTGTGCTATGTTAAATATGTGCAAGTTACCACTGCTGTAATGTACATTTCATTGCATTTTGCAGCAAATAATATTTGAACTACTTGCTGCTTTGTTTTAAAATGAAACACATACCCAGTACTGCTTTTTAAAACAGAACAAGAACATGCCTTCACTAGATGAAAGAAGAAAGAAACTGAAGCAGACAATGCCACGCAGCATGCTTCAGAAAGTGAAAAGTAACAGGTACAGTTACGTGTTTATCTGTTTGTTGGGGATGCCAAGTGTTGGTATGTAATTATATGTGTAGATTCTCACATGTGCACTGGACTTCTTTCGGTACGTGTATGCAGGGAGATGCAGGCTGTGGAGAACCTGCTAGCCATGATGTCGTCTATGGTGCAGCGGCAGAAGAAGCAGCTTCAGCTGAGGAGCATGTGCTGTGGAGAGAGAGTGTGGAGAACTCACCTGAACTACCTCATGGCTCAGGCACATATAGCAGTGTTTTATCAAGGTCTGGACCAGATCCATGGAGGAGCCCTGCAGCACAGGTTTGCACACTTCACCTTTTCTGTATTATTCTATGAACTGTTGATTCACCTGTGATAATAAGCAGCCCAAGAGGTCACAGCAAGTGCATGTGAACACTAAGGGACATGATTTGCTGATTTGTCCTAAGCGTGACTGGCTGTCATGTTCCTTTTGTTATCTGCTGTGAGATACTGTGATGAAGTATTTTTACATAAAGTTCCTAATTGATTACTGTAAAAATAAGGACATGTCTGCATATGCTGCATAATTATGTTTGGAATTTTATATACTGCTTGTGCTTTGCTCAGGTACAGCCAGTTTAATCCCTTGGTGTTTTCTCTGGCCTACTCTGGCACCCTGGTGCAGAGGAATTCGCACAAACAGCAGTCTTCTAAACATGAGGTTGTCTTGGAGAGCAACTCCTCACACTCTGGTGTCCAGGATTATGTGACAAATGCACACAAAGACTGGAACAAAAAGGAGGGTGAGGAAAGTGGCACTCTAAAAATTTTTTGGGAAAAACTATTGGGTATTGTGTCTTTTATCACTTGTCTGAACCTTCTATCCAGCAGTCCAAGTTGAAGACTGTACCACAGAGGAGAGCTGTGAGGAGGGAGAAGGCTGCTCTCTAACTGTGGAAAAGCAAATGGAGACACAGCGATGCACTGCTGCCTTTCTCTTGGAATCCCTTAACAAAGCTGCTGTACATCTTCGGAGAGCCATGGTACTGTAGAAGAATCAATGGATATACACTTACACATAAGTACATTTCACATGACATGCAGAAAAAGTCAGTCTTTTTGTTTCACTGTATGAAAACCACAAATCTTTCTCTTAGTGTGCATATTCTGAAGTGTGCAACATGTTGTATGTGTGCTTTTCATTTTACTTTGTATTGTTTGTGTACAATATGAAATGAAATGAAATGAAATGAAAAAAAAAAAAAAATAAATATTGTGTTATACTTGTCTATTTTTAATCTTTCCAAGGTGTTAGCCCATCGTGGCGGCCACTGGACCACTTTGCAGTATGTGTGTCAGACTATGTGGGACCAAAGTTGCAGAATCACTGTCCTAGTCCAGATGGATGCGCAGCCTGAAACTCCCTCCCCCATCACAGCAGACCAGCTGCACACCATCTTCACTCCGCTACTGATGCTGGCTGCTGACCTCATTATGGATATGTTGAACAAACTAGGGGTCAGTGTCACATGCAGCTATTTACACATGTAGCTGCTCGTCAAAAGCTCACAACATTTTACGAACAAAACTTCTACATTGCAAAATGGGTGGAGATGTTTAGGCACCTAGCGCTGTGGCTCCCATAGTTTACAACTTGTCGTATGAGCAATAACAAATTTGCAGCCACAAAATGAAGACAGAGTAATGTCTGTGACATTCATTTTTGTCTTTTTTGTAACCAGCTGTGGAGTTTGTATGACAGTGACTTGACCGAGGAGGAACTTGAGTCCAGTCTCCACTTCACAGCGCCACTAGACGACAGCACCCAGGTGGACATGCGTTGGATTCGCACATTGGTGTTGCACACTCTGGAGCAGCTCCATGATAGTGGCAAATGGGAAAACCTCGCCCACTTTGCCTTACTTTTCAACTCATACACACGGTGAATAAGACAGATTTTGATTAGAAGCATTTAGAAGAGAGAGGGATTAGCAAATATTAGTGGTAATTTCTTATTAAAACAGGGAATCTGAGTGGAGCTTTTCAGTGTTGAGACTTAATTAGTTGCAAAGAGGAAGCATGAAACATATTACATTAAAGAAAACTCAACAACAAAGCATACAGAAATCATATATGTGTTAAATGAATACTGTGGATTTTTAAACAGATCTCTTTTATGACCTAGGCATTATTTTCCCGACACATCCAAAAAAACATTATTAATCCAGGGCACCATCCAAGAGTACGTGTCCATGGTTTTGTATGTGTGTTCTCATTTAACATGAATTAAATAAGGGAGCTTTGGTCTTTTTGACATAAGAGCATGGATGAGCAAACATTTGAACCTCTGCCTCCAGTGATAAGTGATATACTTGAACACATCCAGAAGGAAAATGAGCTTTTTCTGTGATTTATTTACAAAAAATAGCAGCAAATGTAATCCTCTCTGGAAAAAGTGTGGCCTCAAAGGATAGTATTGCCCTCTTTTTCAGAAATAGCTTCATGTAAGAATTTGCATATTTATCCACCAGTGTCTGACATTGGCTTGCTTTGTTTGTCCACATACATCAAAATGTTAGCAAATTCCACAGTGTGTCCTTCTATTTTTTCTGTCTTTCTCAGGGAACGTTACTCCTTGATTGTAACTCCTCTGCTAGTTCATGCTCAGAGAAGACTGCTTGAAAGAATTGGTACTTTCGGGGGACCTGCAGTCCCACAACCACACCATGTCAAGACACTGAAGGCCACTGGCAAGGAGGTAGCATGTACCCTCACAGAAGTATGATTAGGCATTGTATGATACTACAGTAAAAACCAAAATGTAACTAGGGAAAACCATGTCAGTACAACTGTTCTATACTTTTGAGTTCTGTTCAAGACAGAAGAGAAACTTATTCATGCTTGTTAGTTATGTCCTGGTCAAAATGCAGTAACTGCTACATTAGTGTCTTTTGTGTAAGCTTATGCATTGTTTAAATTGTACTGTATCTATATGTATGTGATGCTTTGTTTTATGCCTTTCAGGTAACTTACAGAAGTTATGCAGGCTGCCAGCTGCTCAGTGGGTGGACCCCTCAGTCTGCACAGCAAGTTCCTATTCACAAAAAAGCAGTACCTAAAAACTCCAAACATCGAGAAGCAGCTGCACTCAAAGGTTTGAACAGCCAGACAGCTTCAGTTGTGCAAACTAAAATATTTAACAGATTTGGTCCCACAAATAATTGATTGTATGCAACAGTAAATTGGGACAGCTGCCCACCAAATATCATAATATAGCATAAGAATGGTAGATGGAATAGCAACTACAAGCTACTGGGTTTTAAATTGTGCAAACTTGCCAAAATGTTACTTAGAATAAAAGCACAGAGGCCGAATACATGTGGATAATTTGTGTTTGATGTAAATGTTTTCATTTGTACATGTCATGTGTCTAAGGTGCAGAGATAGAATGCTCCATGTCCCTTGTGTGCGTTCCTCTGGATGTGGAAGACTCACTGAGCTGTTATCATCAAGCTCTTGAGAAAAGACCTCATTCTCTTCACGTCTTCCAGCATAGTCGCTCATTACTTTGTCTGCTTCTGGCACACACACAGCCCTGTGAGTTTAGTGCTGCTTGAGTAACACACACTCTCTCTCATAGAAAACCTGTTTAAAACTTGTACTGTTTTCTCTGCTTGTTCCCATCTTGAGGCTTTATGGCACAGTTGCAGCCCTGTCGCAGCAGAAGTCTCAGTCATTCGGCAAGCCTGGTGGATTTCAGGCCCTTTGTTATACCCACTCCGAATATCCAGCCTTCTGATCTGTCTGAGGAGGACTACAGTACTCCAAATGCCATCTACAGCCTTCCTATCAGCCCTGACCACATGCCGACTGTCACTGCTTCATACTCCATTTCCATAGGTAAGAACACAAAATGCATTCAAAGCACCCAGAGAGACTTTTATAGCACACTTTACGTGAACAAGTTTTGTCAAATTGTCAATAGGTTAAAGGCTGAACACTGGAATGTTTTGCAGAGAGTTGCAGCAGATTAAATGACAAGAGACAAGCATAGAATGAATTGTGGGTCTCAGAAATCTTATTGTCTCCTCCATGTTTATTCAACTTTTCTTCAGAGTATCTCCAGGCTAACAGTCATGACTCTCTAAGAGCTTTGGCACTGCATGAAATGGGAAACCTGCAGTTCTACAATGGAAACACACGGTACGTTATCTGTTTTATATGCATGCATGTGTGTGTGTGTGTGTGTTGAAGCAAGTCTTTTATTCTATGCCTTTACCAGCAGCTACGTAGCAAAGATATCTAAGTTGACCGTGTCAAGATTTTTCTTTTATTCTTGTAATAATACCATTCTTGCCTGTGTTTTATCTCCAGCGCGGCACACTCATGCTGGAGTAAAGCTGTAGATTGTGCCTTACACAGCTCAGGTGCTGTAAAGAAATGGGATGGCATGTCCTTTGGGAGTGGCTCCCTGCAACAAACCCTAAAACAGGCTGGCATTTGGGGATGTCTGCAGGCTTCTGTGCTCACTGCTAAGATAGCACAGTAGGTTACACTAAGGTTTAATATTGGTTTGGTGTATTTTTTTGTATATAAATATATGCCTTTAAATTGTACCTGTTCTTAAGAGATATGTTTTGATCTCCAGGTATATCTTAACTTCTGATATCAGTCAGCGGACCAAGTGCTGTCTCCTATCTGCTCACCTCTTTAAGGTAGTACTTCTAGAGGATGCTGATCTCTCTTCTTACAAACAGAGTGTGGTTTTTCCTTTTGTTGCCTAATTAACCATTTAGGAAATGACAGGAGATATTTTTGCTATCATGACTGGGATGCATTTTTAATTGTATTTACGTATGTATTTATTTTGACATGCTTGTGTGTATTTTGCTGATTTCCTTAGTGTGTGCTGTGTTGTTCCATGGCTCAACCTCAGGCCGACCTCCAGTATGTGTCCCACAGCATTGGAGATGAACTGCTCTCTGGAGTTGACCTTTTTTCTGAGCCCCACAGGGCTCCCCTTGGCGCCACTGTAACAAGTCTTAACTTTGTTTGCCACTGGCTTTTCACCACAGGCTACTACATTACGGTACCCACATAAACACTGTCCCCCTGCCCTCATTTTGAACTGCAATGCATAAGTTAAGTAACCGACTTAAAGTAAGGTTGTTTTTGTAATTCCAGCTGCTGCCCATACTAGCCCTTTACCTACATTTTGTGGGGACTGTGTGCCGAGATGTACAACGCACTGTTGAGGCCAAAATACTTAAGGTCTCAGTTTTTATAGTCTCATATACTTACATGTGAATGTTTTTCTCTCATGGTGGAGTTTTTAATCTGGATGTTTTTTTTTGTTTGTTTTTTTTTTGCAGATGCGTGTCCTTACTGAACTGTGTCTGTTCACTGAAGCTATGAAGGAGGCAGTTCAACTCACACAAGGAATAGGTGTCCTTCTGCCATATGGACATTACATCTCCAAAGCCAGTCTCCAAGTATGATTGTTTTTCTGAAGGGTCCCTTGCCAATTTGCCAATTTACACAAAGTCTTATATCTCACTTTTATTGACATGTTCTATTCTATTCTTTGTGTGTGTGTGTGTGTGTGTGTGTGTGCGCGCCTGCTACTGCTACTGCTGATCTTGAAACATTAGTCTACCTCTGCCAACTTTACACATCATTTGTTCCAGTGCTGCCTCTGCACAGAAATATTGCAAGAAACTTTTTTGTTCATGTATTCCATGATTTGTATTAACATTTTGTTTATTGTGCAGCCTGTGAAGACGTTCTACAGCAACAAATCTCTATTGGACAATGTGGAGGTATGTATTCTATAGGATTTCTGTAGCTCTCGGGGCATTTCATCAGTGTAATTCTGTCAGGATAATCTAGATGTAAAATGAAATCTCACAGTGGAAGAAGGTCATACAAATAATTTCTAAAAGGAAGACCCATGTTGCCATAGTTTATAGTATTCAGGAACATCCTTGGTCTACGACGTACAAAAAAATCACAGACATTTGCATACAAAAGCACCCTTCAAGCACAAGACAAAAAATGCTATGTGGATCTGTTCTCTGTCTTAATGATGCTCTTTTCGCTGTATGTTTTATACAACAACATATATGAAGTGTGGCTTAAGTAAGTTGAACCATAGTGTGGCTGTGCAAACCATGTGGTATACACTGACTAACGGTGAAGCAACCTCTGGTAGTTTCAGTCTGCTCAATTTATATACAATTTAATTAAATAATGTTGATTTACAGAATTAGTCTCTTTATTTAAATGCCACACTTCACACATTCATATAGATGCTCACTTAACTTGCCAACTAAAATGGTTTCTTCTGAATGGAATTTGTTTGTATGCGGTGCTTGTGTTTAGGTTTTGGAAGAACTTGTGAACTGTGATTTGGCTCCAGAGGTCCAGACTCTGTATGGACCCACACTGTGTGTCAGATTCAACCTAGCTCGTATTCAACTAGTCCTGGCACTGGCAGACTCCGTACATGGCCGTCCTATGCCAGGTCTGTATGCTGGTACTCGATCTCTCTGTTAATTATGTTGGTTTTATTACGTTTTGGGAGTGTTTTGAAGCAAATGTTTCTGCAGTTTATAAAACAGCATTATGGTAGAGCAATATAATATCAACTGACTGATAATGCATTTAGTTTGCTTAGGAACATGATCTTGTTCTGCTTTTTCCAGACCTTCAATAGTCAAGGGGTTTATGTGTCTTCTTGAGATAATTATGCTATTTATCTGCAAGGTTTATTATTTTGTGATTCATATAAAGGTCTTAAAGGTCGTTTTACATTTTCTGAGTCCATGTAATTCTTTTGCATAAACCCTGGACTATGAAATTCCACTATATTTGTCATTATTATCATAACATGTATGTAACATGATTTGTTTGCGTAGTAAGTGATTGCATACACTTCATTCACAACTAGTTTTATATTATTCTGAATGAGCCACTGTGGATCAAATATCTTTTTATGATCAAGTTGGAAATTTCTTTCAGTTTCTGCTGAAGAAGAGGCCAGCACAACAAGTTGTTTGGTGAACTCAGAACACCACGAGCAGGACAGCCTGGAGACTGAGGGCTCTTGCCTAAAGACAGCGAAACCAACAATTCTCTCTCTTGATACTGGGAAGGAGAAACTAACCCCAGAAAGAATTAAGGTAAGATCTAGTGGGGATTTTTAACTTGTTTGTCGTTGGGTTTTTCTGACATAATGAGAGAGAACTCCAACTCACATTTACAGCTGAAGCCAGAAGTTTACATGCACTGTTTAAAAAAACATATATCCTTTTTTTTTTTCCTCAGTCTGATTTATTTTAGATTTAAATCAAACTAAACTTTCCCTGTTTTAGGTCAGTTAGGATTACTAAAAATATGTCTATTTGCTAAATGATAGAATAATGAGAGAGAGAGAATTCTTTTTTCTTTTAATTATTCTGGCATTTAGAAAATAGAAATAATTTTGGTAATCCTAACTGATCTAAAACAAGTTTAGTCACATTTAATGTCAGATAGTGAAAAAAAAAGCTTATGTGTCTTTTTATACATTGTCTGTAAACTTCTGGTTTCAACTGTATATGTCTTTATTGCATCCATCTTTTCTCTTATATAGTCTTTTGGGTAAAGGAATATTTGTTGAATATGATTTTCTAAAGCCTGGCAGAAATTTTTAAAGCCCATGTAACTGAATAAAATACTGGAAAAGTATTGTTTAAAATAGTAATTAATATTTCTATCATTGTAGAAGTAACACTAAGGACAGAAACAGGTCTATAGTTATCAGAATCTGTCACATCGTATTTTTAACGGTAGGAATGACTACAGTGAATTGCATATCCTTGTGCAATACCCTGTTCTATACGAACAATCAGGGTTAAACAAGTTATAATGAGGTTAGCTGCAGAAATCTAGCCAAAATGTCAGAGACCCGGGAATTTACGACAGTCAAGTCAACACATTTTCAATTTTAAATGCTCAGTGCTACTTTGTATAGCACTCCAATTCTAGATTCAAAGCTAATCAATAGATTGTTGCTTTTGGGGCAAGTGTCAACAAGCTTTGGGACGACTTGACAAAAAACAAGTTACCATGATTTGCAGTAGATCTTTATTTGGTGTATCTATCATATGTATTTATTTTAGTGTACTCTCTGCATTTACCACTTACCTTAACATTAATGTACACAATTTTTTGTTCATAATATTTGTGCATATTTGTCATCTCCTGTGTTGTAGTTCCTTTTGCTAGAAGGAGCGTCCTCCTTGTTGCAATCCATTTCGCAGGAGCTCACATCTCATTCTGATAATCAAATGGAGAACCTGGAACAAACAATAGAATCCAATCTTCTAAAGGCAGACCTCTACCTACAACAAGGGCATGCTGCACTTAGGTACAACGACCTCATGCAAATCTTTGTGCATGTGTTTATATGCTTATGTTTGTACATCCCAAGTATGCTAAACATTTTAATGTTTTTCCTCAGCTCTGAGATGGCAATTTCATCTTTAGTATTGCTGCAGACATCACCTGTGATTGTAAGAGGATCCATACCTGGTTCTCAGAAACACGTACAGGAGTTATCACATGTCCGGGCTGGAAGTGAACAGGTAACATGTTTACATAAATTAGTTGTAGAATCAAAATTGTCAATTTTCTGAAGCACATGTGTTCGTGATCTGTGTACTATGTCAAAAACATTACAACACTGTGACCAAAAGAACCACTGGCAATAAAAAAGCAGACAATAACATAACAGTGGTGCCTTTAGGTATATTAGCGGCTGATATGTTATACAGTCAGTCTGTAATGTAAGATCTGTATATGACCACAGTGAACTAGTTGAATGCTCATTTGTTGTACATGGTGTGTATGTATGTATGTGTTTATGTGTGTTATATCCTGTCTAAAGGACACGAAAGATAACAGTGTGTCAGACACCCTGAATGGAGACTGTCCCAGAACTGTTGAGTCCAGTGAGAGAATTGGAGTATCTCTGTGGCTGCGCTGCCGCTTTGCTCTAGTCCACAGCCTGACTGCTGATGTACCTGGCACTGCTGCTCTTTTCCCAGGTCTGGTTATGTGTTTAGCTGCTCTGCCTCTATATCCTAAGGGATGTATTATAGGCTAAAAATATTTGTATAGTATCATATGGATTACAAACATCAAATGAAGTTAGTTATCTCCCCGCCTACCCAAACTACAACTAGGTGTATATTTGAAAAACTACATGGGACAGCTTTATGTTGTTCTTTGACATTTTCTCATATGTTGTCCAGAATTGCTAAGTAATCAAATCAATGGCTGCATATAGGTTAGTAAATTAACAATAGCAATAGTTATTACACATCAAATTTGTATGTATGTATGTTTTATATGCGTGTGTGTGTGTTTTATAGGTAAGAACATGAATGAGGAGGTAGCTCGGGTGTTGCAGGAGGGACTTGATGAATGTGTGCTATGGGGAGACCATGATATTCAAGCCCGACTGATGGTCGAAGGTGCGCAATTGGAAGCATCAAGAGGCAAGACTGATGACAGCATGGCAATGCTGCAGGTACACAACACACGCACGCATGCACGCATGCACGCATGCACGCACACACAACTTTTTTTTGGTTTGTTTTTGTGTCCTTATTTATGTTTGGATTTCTAGACTAGATGTGGTACCCCCCTTTATTTTTTTGTTTTGCAACATTTTCATTGTGGTCATTTATGAGCCCACTTAGTCTTTAACATCGCTCAAAGATATGGTATTTGTTTTTAATGTGTGATGTGATCACAAAATGAGTTAAATTCTTCCAACACAACCCCCCAATTTTCCTGGATGTGGCCATGCAATATAACTAATATTTCGTACATTCAGTTGTGTATAACTGTAATAGAACTGGTCGGAAGTTCAGCTGAATTTTAGTATGTTAAAGAACAGTAACATATTACACAGCTCCTTTCATACGTAATTTTCCCTTGTTACACAGTAAGGAAAAAAGCATGAGCTCGACTGTGATTTGACCATTTATAGAAATCCTTTCATGCATATTTTTTTTCTGTAGCAGACTAGATAAACTGTTCATTTGGCTAGCCAGGAGTCAGACATGAATCTTCTGATCTGTAGTCAAACGCGTTGTCCATTGCATCACAAGCCCATGGTCTCCCTGGTGGTTATAACATTATTGTTACATCATTGCACGACAACGAATTTAGTCTTTCAACTGGTAAGCCAGTGCAAAGAAAGTGATCAAATGACTAGTCAAACCATAAAGTAAGGGAGCTCAGAAGGAGCTCACCAGCTTGACCCAGAACTCAATCAATGGTTTTTCATGTGCACTTTTATTTTTAGATGTTGCGACATTTTTCCTTCCTTCTTGCTCCTTAAACATACTACCCATATCTTAGAAGTAAAAAAAAAATGCAATTGTGAAACATTTTTATATTTCTCTGAGTTATCCATTTTAATAACCTTTTCCTCTTGAGCAAAGTTTCCCGTTTTATGTGGGTGATCACAGAACGTAGCGAGCCTAACAACTGACAACAGTTGACAAAACAATTGAAAATCATCTATGGTATACCCATGATGTGTGTGCAATGTTTGGTCCCATTAGGAACCTTTTACACAACTCCTTTCATGCATAACAATCCTGCAATATACTGTAAATGCTGCAGACTGGATAAGCGAAAGTGACTGTTGAGCGAGCTAGGAGTCACACCTAGAAACTTCTAGCCTTACAGTTTCTTTGCTTTGGCGCAACAGCATAGCAGGATAACACATATTGGATTTTTATCGATAAGCCGGTGCTGAGAAAGTGATGAAATGACTGATCTAGCCAGAACGCACGGGGGCTCACGCAAGAAAATAAGGATGACTTGCGCCTGCGGAGAAAGATTTGAGAAGTCAAAGATGTCGAATTTAGTGGTTTTTCATGCAGGTACACTTGTAGTCTGGGGCGTTGCAGAATGTTCCCTTCTGTCTTGCACTGTCAACCTTGTAGCCAGAGCTCTGAAAAGTCAGCACTTAATGCAAAACACTCATGACTGTGTTGAGCCACGAGCCACCACACAATTACTAACACACCTTACGCACCATGACATTGCCCCACTGCACACGTCCCTGCACAGGATTCCAGGAGAAACAATACATGTATGAAAACAGATGCCCCGTGTGAGGCTCGAACTCACGACCTTCAGATTATGAGACTGACGCGCTGCCTACTGCGCCAACGAGGCCCAAAAACAGTTCAAAATGCCCATATGTTTTTCCTTCCGCTTTGTTGTGCCTTCTGCAGCTTTCGCCGTGCTTCTGTATATGTAGCGTCTGAAGCTAGGACAAGCAGGAAAGTCCCCAAGAAGGTTTTTGGAAACAGACTATGTCATGATCACAGTCAGTCTGTCAGCAAGTGCAACAACAGAGCAGCAGGTCTTTGTCTGCCGTTGACTGACAGCAGGACTGAGCTACACAAAGAGCACACAGGGCACGATATGCAGCGTGTGCTTCGGCTGTATTCACACAAAACTCACACCTTCCCACAGGGTTGTGCAGAGATGTGTCCATTTATATTTGTACACTAGAAAAAAACCAGTGTGAAACAATCGCAAAGTAAGTTTTAATGTCTCTGCTTTATTATGTCTCCGCTCCCTCAAATTATTCACTCTCTAACTTGCTTGACCACCGTCGTTCTTGCTGAATTTTGTGATCTTGATCTAATACATATTATAACTTTTATCAGCAACATAAGGATACGAAGTTTTGCAAAACTTGCCGTGATCCGGATTCGCTGCGGCCACAACGCAGAGTACTTACCACTATACGATCACGGCCTCTTGTTTGCTTGGGTGCTGTGCTGTTATGATGGCACGTTATGAACTCCCAATGCCAAACTTACTTGCATGTTTTGTGTGTGTGCTTCTCAAATGATGGGTGTTAAAACAGAGTCAAGCCTCCCTGGTGGTTTATCAAGCACTGAGGGGTGTGCTACGAAGCGACAGCTTTCTTTTCCTGGACTACGCAGAAAACATAGAAGGAAGACTTGAAATGTTGGAGACTGGATAAGCTCAAGGGTTTTTCAAGGTCACCAAGAGTCAATGCTACAATCTTCTGATACACAGTCAGACATATTGTCCATAGCAGCACTAGCCCTTCATGTCCAGCACTGCAATGTGATAGATATTGTCTTTTTCTGCAAAAGTGATCAAATGACTGGTGGAGCTGGGAAGAAAGGATACTCACACAGGAGGACATACCTGACTTGTGGCAGTGTGGTCCAGAACTCTGTCAAAACCAGCGGTTCCTCATGGATGT